TCCTCCCTGTCTCCCTCGATTTCCACACGTCTCTCTCTCTCTGTCACTCAGTAACTGGAGCAGCTGAAGCTTTAACAACATTTGGTCCATCCATCAAGCACAGCCAGCTTTGATCAATAAGCACTTTGAGTCCACTCCACAGCACCGCACTGAACTTCAAATGTCTCCCCTCTGTCTCTGTCAGTACTTATCGCTCTGCTGACAAAGCCATATTAGACCCAGGCATGGGGAGGACTGTTACAAGACCTTTCACAGCGTGATCCGGGAAACTGCCTGATCTTAACACTTAAAACTCGTCTTTAGATATTTGAAGAAGTCATATATCCTGTGTGTTCTGTAACAAAAGGACTGTATAAGCACAGCGGTGAAGGAAAGTGGCTGTCCCTGTCAGATGTGTGGATCAAAAATCTGCTGTATTTTAAAAGTCAGATTTTTCCACATGTTGTTCTGGCTGAAATCCCATGTGACAGTTTTCACTCACAGTTAATCCCCCTGAAATGTGACGCTTATTTTCCAACACGTAAAATAAATTAGAAATATATAAACAAAGAGGTTATTCACGAGTTTTACAAAAAGTCACATGAGGAACATTTTGAATTTGTTTCCAATAACTTGCACTTTTTCGTCACATGGGTCGTCATGTGCTACTTTCTTGCCCTGTCATCAGTTTCCAAACACTGCACGGCAACATCGCAACAATACTGAGTCATGCTTCAAAAGCAGAGACAAAAAGAGGATGTTGACAAGCAAGATGAATTCAACCATCAGCACCAAACAAAGCAGGTGTTAGCAAAGTGCAGAGATTCCCGAGCTCGGACAGGAGCAAGACTTATTAGAAACTTTGCGATGCACTTATTAAGGTCCTTACACACCGGGGCCGACACAAATTAGAGCATGACACGGGAGTGGATTTTCACTCCTGTCCTGTCCCACTCCCAGAGAAAAAATTCTGGACCGGAGTGAAAAAATGAATCCTGTCCTGTCCCACTCCCGTAGAATGACTCCCACTCCTGTCCCGCTCCCGTTTGAATAAAACCAAACGTGTTGAAAAAACCGTTGCATTTTTTTATTTTAGGTAAAAGTTTTTTATTTAGGTAAAAGTGGCAGCCGAGTCAGAGCAGCAGTCGCTCCGAGTCGCTTCTCACTTCCGGTGGTTACAGGAAGTCAAACCACTGTTGTAGTTCTTTTGTGTTGCTAGCGCGGTCGAGAATGTTGGCTCTCTCTGAGAGATGACTACAAAAATGGACGCATCTGTTAATCTGGTTGCTCCTGCCTGCTCCCGTTGCTCTTTTTCCCCTCCCGTCCCGATCACAGGATTAATTAAAAAATGACTCCTGTCCTGTGGGATTCCCGCGGGAATCATATGACCCACAGGAATTCCCGAAAAATGTCATCCTCTAATGGGAATATAGAACGCGAAATTACGAAATATTCGGAGGCAAATTTTGACGCAACTGACTATACACATCAAGCGTGGAGGACTTTTCCGGGAAAGTCCCGCCTCCTACGCCTCTGATTGGCTAGAAAAGCTTGAAACTTTTATCAATTCAAGGACTAACAAATGACTTTAAAATGCAAAGCTAGTCGCATGAGAGTCCAGATATTTCATTCCAACATAAGTCCTGCCTCTGACTATACAAATAACCAGTTAATATTTAGGGTGGCCGGTTCAAAACAGGGGCCAAGCCACCCCCAGCCGCCCCGTTAATCACACCCCTGGTCATACATCACACGGTACCTCTGGTTAAGACTCAAAGGGTACATAGATGTGGATATGAAACTGAACTATGCCAGAGGAGTGACTTGAGAACTCGTCGAGTCTGACACTTTGAGGCAAAAGTTCAATGGCTGTGAAGTCACTTTTGGTTACAACACGATAATGTTTAGTCACGCTTAACTTTGTGGATTAAACTGAGTAACAGAGGAAATGAAAGCATCAGAGTAAACTGTTTCAACCTCTAAAAGCAGAAGTTCGGCTAGTTAATCAGAACGTTTTGGCCTCCAATCCACTCGTCTTGTGTGTTGTGCTTTTTTTCTTAATGTACATTGTTCTTTTCTTCTCTTCATTTCTCTTCACTTGTATGATAACAAAGGAGTTCATAAAGTGGCCAAACACTCTCATGTTTCACTCTTTTGGAATCCCTGAGCCCGTGCTGCTCTGATGTAAATCTGTGCAGGGCTGCGTGAGGCTGATGCAACATTTATGTCCTGTTGTGTTCATCTAAATGTGCATCTAAATATCATTAGGCAGGAAACAACATGAGGAGTATCACCTGTTATGAAGATTGAATATCAACAGAGAAACAAAGAGGAAGAGGAGAGGTTTGTGCTCTTGGTATTGTCTCTGGACCTCGATCCTGAAAACTCAAACCCCGTCAGAACTTTTCTTCCTGTCTCCTCTTTAATAAACACGCTCTGTAGCTTTAGTTCCCCCCACTCTGTCGGTCGTGTGTACAAAACTCCGAGGAGGACTTGAGCCCTACATCCTGTGGTTTTCCTGCAGTGTGGACTTTAAACCACAAAAATGTGAGAATGCATATCCCTGCACTGATTTACGTCACTTTTTTTTGCAGTTCACTTTGTTGTTAAAGTCTCCTGCAGAGGTTGTGCTACTTTTTCCTGCTTGTCAAACACAGAGGTAGAGACTTGAAATGAGGTAAACAAGTTCTTGAGTTTGTCTGCGCAGAGAAAGAAAAACATGTCAGGACTTTCGTGCCAGGGCAGGTTTTTATGAATGGAAGTTTTTTCTCCCCCTCTCTAACTTTCCCTCTCTCTCTTTTTGTGAATGAAAAACAACTGGAAAATCCTGTATGAAAGCCCGCAGCCTGCCGGGAGTTGATTGGCTCATGCGGTGCCCAGCTCCGCCCACGGTTGCTAGGATCCCGACTACAAGGCTTGTGATTGGCTCCTGGAGGGAACCGAGACTTCATTCATAAGTCTGTGTATTCAAGCGGACAAAGAGGAGAAATTCGAGCCCCTGAAAGAGGAAATGCACCAATCACGAGCTTCGTCTGGCTCCGAGCGAGAAAAGCAAGTCTGGCTTTTATCGCCAGAAACATGTCTGTTTGAGGAATGACAGCACAGCTGGCGCACAAAAAGTCACCGCACTTCGACTCAAACGCATTTAAAGTCGTTTTAACCGCGTGTGTCTCTTCAGAATAAAACTCCTCTCTGCTGCTGTGACTGCTGCACTCTAATGCAACATCTGTTTCCTAAAGACAGTGAAGCCCTCATGGACTCCACGGTGATCTGTGGGTAGACGTGGCAAACGGCCCACGAAACAAAGCTGCTCAATAACACATCTCTAACAGGACTCATGGGTCTCACTGAAAAAGCAACTTTTTAGACGAGAAAATGAGACTTGATAGCAGAATGAGTCAGGGTGTGAGCATGTAGTTTTTGTCTCAGTGAGAAATGAACGAGAAAAAATGAGGAAACGGCGATTTTGTCCTTTCCTCGTAATTTCAGTCAAAAACAAGAAGAAAACAAAAGTATGAGACTGTTGTTTCCTGGTAATGAACTCAAACGACGAAAAAAAGTCCAAAAACATCTTTTCCAATAACGTGATTTTGTTTATTTCGGTGTCATTTACAAAGTTTGATGAATATGAAATAAATCTGGTAGACTGTCATGTGACAAATTTCAAAATAAAAGACAATAAGAGTCACTGTATAGATAGATAGATAGATAGATAGATAGATAGATAGATAGATAGATAGATAGATAGATAGATAGATGGATGGATTACTTGTCTTTTACGTAGTTTTATGAATAATGAAATAAAGCTGATAGACTGTCATGTAACAAATTTCAAAATAAAAGAAAATAGAAGACAATAGGAGTCACTGGATAGATAGATAGATAGATAGATAGATTGCATGTCATTCACATGGTTTTATGAATACTGAAATTGGGTAAATAGACTGTCATGTGACAAATTTGAAAATAAAAGACAATAGAGGACAACAGAGTTACTGTTTAGATAGATAGATAGATAGATAGATAGATAGATAGATAGATAGATAGATAGATAGATAGATAGATAGATAGATAGACTGATAGATAGATGGATAGATAGATAACATGTCATTTACATAGTTTTATGAATAATGAAATAAAGCTGATAGACTTTCATGTAACACATTTCAAAATAAAAGACAATAGAAGTATTTAAGAGTTACTGTTCAGATAGATAGATAGATAGATAGATAGACTGATAGATAGATGGATAGATAGATTACATGTCATTTACATAGTTTCATGAATAATTTAATTAAGATGAAACACTGTAATGTGACAAATTTCAAAATAAAAGAAAACAGAAGACAATGTCTATTAGATAGATAGATAGATAGATTTTTAAAAACAATAGAAGAATTCACTAGCGAAGAAATTGAGTCTATTTTTCACCAGTTCTCGCTTTTATTTTGAAATTACCTTTCATGACAGTTTAATGTCCGAATTTGAGATGTCTTTAAACTCTGATCTACGTATATACAAGTGGAAAAAGTGGAAAAGTTGTTAACTTATTAGTTCATCTGAGTTTTTGAAAACCCTCTGTTTTGTTTTTTTCTGTGATTAATTTCCTCTGTATTGACTTTAGCGCCCCCTGTGTAATCCTTTTCTTTCACCCCTGATTTTGACTCATAACTCGTTCTTGTAAAATCTCATCTTGTTTTCTTTTCACGTTGAAGTCTATCGCTTATTACTGAACACTCATGTTGTTTTTGTGATCGTACCTGCTCCCTCACAGCAGTTAGAGGTATTAAATGGTCAGCCTTATTTTAAGTGGTTTTCTTTGCTTTTCGGCATTATAGAGAAGTATCTGTTCATTTTAGAGTGTTTAATAAGCTATCAAAATTTCCTTACTGGAGCTTTAAATTAGAAAAACAAAAAAATAAGAAGCGCCATTTCCTCGTTTCTCCTTTTATTCACTCTTGCATTAAGTGGTGCGTTCATGTCCGGACTGGAAATAAACATTTCCCAGCAAAGAAACTGCAGGAAATAAAGTGCCAGAGATGTGAAACCTGCTTCACCTGAACCACTTACACGTCGATCTGTCTGTTAGGCACAGAAAAAGAAAAAGAGAGATTTGTAAAGAGGGCAGCAGCCCGCTGGGTAATCACTCGCCATCACTTCCCCTCTGTATTTTTTTGTGAATGGAGCTCATTATGCATGCAGCCTCCACGCAGCTCCATTCACAAGCAGCGCTCCCTCCTCTCCCTGCAGGCTGCGTGGATCGCACTCAACTCAGCCTAAATGACCACAAACGGTTAACGGATGGATTATAAGATGGATGGATATTTGGACCAGCAAGTGCCTTATACTTTAGCAAATGTACGTATGATTGTTGTGACTTTCGAGCTTCTTCTCTTTGAGCTGTTTTTAATGACTCTGCTACCGGGCTTTATCCGGGTCTCCGTCTCGCGTCTGCACGACTTTTGGCCGAAGCAGCTGAATGCGTGCGCGAGACAAAACTCCAATTTCTCTCTCACTTTGACAAAAACTATCACCAATGTAAGCGCTTTGAGTTTTGCATTCGCTAAGGTTTTAATCCGTCTTTGTTTTGTGCGCGAAACCGAGTGTCAAAGTGTGCCAAATGGTCACTTTCTTCAGACGCAGACAGCGCGTTTGTTTTCCTCATGATTGCCTCCACAGCTGAGAAATGTTGTTTTCTTTAGAGGGGATTCATGCTCATATTAAGCTGCTGTAGCCTCTTGATCAGAAACACAAGTATCATCATAGTCATTTTACTCTTGTTGGGACCCCCTCTCCCCTAAAGTCCAAGTGTTTTCTGCTGTCTGAGTCCTGAGTCCTCTCCACATGCCACATTAAACATGCCATTAGCTCCTCTGACACTGATGTTCTGGAAATGCCCTGTTGGGAGTCTGTTTTCTCACTTCTCCTCTCTTTACATGTATGTGTTTTGCAGAAGTCGCATGGAAATGGGCCCCTAAATAGACTGTTGATGGCAGCGAAAAGGAAATACATGGACACAGAATTACCCCCTCAGGAATCTGAAGGTAAAGTACAGCTCTGCTTTTACATGACGCATGTTTACATCATGGTCTATCAACCCCAGGCTGTGTCAGTCTGGGTCTCAGTTTCTGCGTTTTTTTCTTCACTCATTAGTTTTTCTTTCTTATCTCTCTCTCTCTCTCTCTCTTTCCTCAGACCTCTTCCAGGATTTAAGCCAACTCCAGGAGGCATGGCTCACAGAAGGTGAGACTGGCCTCGAGGCTTCTTCTCTTCCCGAATTGTCCTTTTTTTTGTGGTGATTTCATAACTTACAACAGTCATGAGGCTTTCAGACGTGTGCGTCTGCAGAGTGTGGTGAAATGACACCTAAAAACCAAAGACAAACACACTCATGAATCGTATTTTTACACATTTGTGAAGCGTTCCCTCTTAAAGAAGCTAGATTTAGAGAATTATCCCTGTGATTTGCCTTATTTTTAAGGGGTTGTTTCAACCTTAAACATCACCAAAATAAGACAAATGCAACAAATTATGTTCCTGCCTTCAATATTTTCATATCCGTTTTAGATAAAAGTGTCATATGTCTTTATTTTCAGGCAAATATAAAAAAAAAAATAGAAAGTAATTCAATCTTTGTGTTATTTTGGGTATTTCTGGACAGATTAGAGGACCAGAAACCTTCAATCTCAGGAGAAAACAAAACTATTCTTCTTTCAAAGTTTCACATGAAGCTGAATTCGCATAAAACTTTTGTAGAGTTGAAATAGGATGAGAGATAATGAGCTGTATTTGTCTTATTTGTAGCATCGAAAAGCTTGAAAATACAATCTAAACCCCTGGTTGTCTCTGCAAACAGCATCTTTGGAGTTAAATCTGTAAGATAATAGACTGTTTTTGTCTCAGTTTTTACATTGCTGCACTGAAAAGAGTAAAAAAAACTACATCTGGATGTTAAAATCTTGAGGAATCATGCTTGGATTGTGTTTCCAGAAGGATTTGTTCATAATTCCTAAATAGTTTGTTGAAACACAAAATATTTCACTTTTTTTTTTTTAAATGTTTGTGAAGTTTCTGGATCTTCAGACACTCTTTACGACTCTTTCACATATTTTGCTTTCTGTCGACACTAAGAAACATTTTATCATCTGAAGTCAGGCCTCCAGTGTTTCTGCTTTTTTATCTGAATGTTTCACAAAATCATGGCCGACATGTGAAAGATGACCTCCTTAGTGTTTATGCAACCCACTGGAGAGCCCTCAAACTCTGCGATGCAGCTCGCATTTTCAGAAAACATTCGAGTCCAGAAAAAAAAAAAAAAAATCCAGCCATGAAGAACACAGACGGCACATTATTAGCTCTGAGCATGTCCTATTTTGGCCATGTTGGCATGTAGCGTGCGTGCCAGCCTGCAGCCAATGCAAACAAACAGGCTATTTGGCTCGTGTCACTCAAAGGCACATAGCGATGAAATGAGGCCCAGTCAGGGGGCAATTGTCAGCTAGTCGACTTTAATAAGTGCGATGATGATGTGAGCTCTAATAGAGTAATTATACAGTACGTGAGGCGGAGGGAAACATGCTGTGAGTCACTGCCGTGTGTCTGTGTGTCTGTGTGTCTGTGGAGTCGAACCTGCAGCCGCTCAGGAGCAGGACGCCGAGGCTCTGAAATCAGGAGAGGTGTGAAAACGGTTGTGTCAGTTTGCTGTGATGCGCTTTGATGTGGAGCTTTAAAGGGAAATGCCACTCATTTTTGACATTTAATGTGAACCGCATCAGTCTGATGAATTCTGGGTGAAGTCAACTCTCCATGTAGACATGATTGTGTTGTTGTTTTGTGGCTGTTTGCAAGTCATTGTGCAGAGTTTGAATTTAGAGCGTTTGCAGGGGTGAAATGTGAATTTTTAGGTGGTTTTCCTCCTCTTTCCCTAAAGCTGGGTCATGTCTGGTGTGTAAATAATCATTGCCGGATGTCTGCTTCCTTTTTTCCAACAAATTCAGCCGTGAAATTTTGTTATTTTGGTTTTACTGCTGTGAATATTTGGGAAAACAAATCGTAAATATTCAACTATCTCTGACATTTGGAGTAAAAATGGGCGAAGTGAAGCCGTGCTGCAGAGTCAGAGTGAATCAGCAGAATTAAAACGGTTTTCAACGTAAGTTAAGATTTTTTAAGTCTGCTTAGAGGGAAATGTAAAGAAAGAAGTGTCACGGTGCGTTCAGGATCTTTATGTAAAGGGGAAACTATTTATAACTACATTTAATGAATCGAACAGTACAGAGCAGACATAAAGAAACAGGTAAACCGCCGTATTGGCACATTTTCAGAAAAATCTGTTTATGTGGGGGGTCAAAGAGCAGAATCTACATTATTCTTCAAAAAACATGAAAATATTTGGTTGTAAATTGTAGTAAAATGTGAAAGCTCTCATGGGGCCCTTATTCCCCGCACTGCCTCTGGGTGTGTCCTCTTTTAAAGCTCCTCTGCTCTTCTGGTTGCTTTTGTTGATTAAGTTTAATTTCATTAGAAGTTTTTAACTCTTCAAGGAAATTGTAGTCACTTTAAAATGTTTCACAGACTTTAGTTAGTCATGAAAATCCTCCTCAGGTCAGCAAACTGTAAGGAAGTGAAGAAGTTACGTCAGAGACGTGGTGGACGCACGTCGGTCTGCCTGAAATTTAAATAGAGCCCACTCCTGTTTGTGACAAACAATGCTGAGTCCACGTAAAGAGCTCTCTCACCTTTTCTCATGCAGCGTCAAAAGCCGGCAAGTTCAATTCACACCGGCGTCTCACACAGACAGAGAGAGACAGAGCCAATAAAAGAGCAACAATGGGTGTCGCTTCAGTTTCAGCACGTTAGTATTCACAGATTTCACCTGAGAGAGGACGCTGAATTCACCCTCTTTTAAAAAAAAAAGGACAGATTTTGAGATATCCTCTGGAGATTTCAGTCTTGTCTCATTTATTTAACTTAGACATCAGCTTCTAAACTTGATATCTCCACCTTACTTCAAAGAAAGTCAACAAACTTTTGATTTGTGGTTAAAGGCAAGACAAGAAATGGAGAAACAGCATGTACCGAGGCTCCACCCACTGTCACACCCTCCTAATAAAGATATAAAGCCCAAAACAAAAATAAAATTAGTGTTGTCAAAATACACAAGGGACTGAGTCAGAGTACATCAATCAAAACTGAAGAAAACAAACACATAGCAACCACAAACCACAACAAAGTGTGGGCTCTGACGGCCTCACAGGACAAAATACCAACTGACTTTCGAAGGTATGAGGAAAAGGAGCATCGACAGGCGAATACCAACGTTAAAAAAGAAACAAAAATCCTGTTAAAAGACGTTACAGTGACTCAACATGTTCAGTTCTTATCACAGAAAACAGGATCATGATTGAATAAATTTACGTTATTTTGACCTCTTAGTTAGCTAACACGAAAACCGTTGCCATGGAAGCGTGACAACCATCTAAACTTAGGAATCGGTGTTTTAGCCGTGTGGATAAAACCTCTTTTAAAATCAATAAAACCATTTTAGATTCTCACCCTGTAATGTTTGTAGTTTACTTATATAATCTTTTAATTAAAGCTCCTGTTAGGAACTTTCCCCTTGTGCTAATCTTGGCGTCCCTAGTGGACAAATTAAGGAATATCACTTGGCTAATTTCGTACCTATCATTTTTATGTTGTTATATCTGACATTGTTTAAAGGCTTTATTTGAGTGAAACTTTAAAGTTTACGTTATTTTGACCTCTTAGTTAGCTAACACGAATACCGTTGCCATGGAAGCATGACAACCATCTAAACTTAGGAATCGGTGGATAAAAACTCTTTAAAATCAATAAAAATATCTTCAGACTCTCACCCTGTAATGTTTGTAGTTTACTTATATAATCTTTTAATTAAAGCTCCTGTAAGGAACTTTCCCCTTGTGCTAATCTTGGCGCCCCTAGTGGACAAATTAAGGAATATCACTTGGCTAATTTCGTACCTATCATTTTTATGTTGTTATATCTGACATTGTTTAAAGGCTTTATTTGAGTGAATATTTAAAATTTGTGTTATTTTGACCTCTTAGTTAGCTAACATGAATACCGTTGCCATGGAAGCGCGACAACCATCCAAACTGAGGGATCGGTGTTTTAGCCGTGTGGATAAAACCTCTTTAAAATCAATAAAACCATCATTAGATTCTCACCCTGTAATGTTTGTAGTTTACTTATATCGCTTTTTAATTAAAGCTCCTGTGAGGAACTTTCCCCTTGTGCTAATTTTGGTGCCCCTAGTGGACAAATTAAGGAATATCTCTTGGCATGTTTATGTTGTATTTTCTGACAAAATAAAAAAAAAAACTACTCTTGATTTTAAATGTCCAACATAAAGCTCAAAAATCCACAAAGGAGCTTTAATTTAATGCAAAATCTTATTAATTTACTGTATTTAACTTTACAGTGACTGTCAGAGCCATAAGAAATTTAGTACATTTATTTTGTAACAATATTACAGGATATATTGACATCTGGTAAAGATCACAGCAGATATAAAGTGGAAATCTAAATTTTAGGAAACAAACCATTAGTTCCTGTTAAAGCAGGAGCCGGCTCAAGTCTGTTTCTGAAAAGACAAACTCGCTGTTGAGTTAAAAAAATATGTGTGTCACTTTTAAAAGGGTATGACCACCACAAATTAGATGTTTCACTCACCGCCATTGTATTCACTCAGCAGAGGAGCAGGTATTTAGAAAGATTGAACACAATCGCTAGATTTCACCCGGAGAAAATGTGTTTATTCTGCGTAATTTTGGTAAACCGGCCCCTCAAATAAAGGCGTCATTTCATGTGCTTGAGAGGCAGATTACATCGAGCTGCAGCGAGCGCACAAAGCAAAAAAAAAGGAGGAGAAAGATGGAAGTATACCTTCACTATCAAAGTGTTATTTAGCCCTAAGTACTGGCTTGTTTTCAACTTCCCCAGCTTAAACCTCTCCTTTCCTGTTGCATTAATTAAAGACCTTATCATGACTGATTGCAGTTGTGAGGGATTCACCAAGATTGTAAAAGCCGGGTAGCTGGAGGGAGTTTCTTTCTTTTTTTTCTCTCTTCGCCAAAGGAGAGCGGAAGCGAGAGGGTGAAGCGCTGAATGGCAAGAGTTCAGGAGCTTGTCACATCTTGTCTTATTTTGGCCTTTAGGTTTATGTGACTGCGACGGCTTAGCTCCGCCCAGGATCTCCCACTGAGAGAAAAAAAAAAGTCATTCAAGGTGCCTGGAAGCATCAGGGAGAACATGCGTCTGTGCTCGTATAAACACACTCTCCTTCTTGTGCTGACTTGCATCTCAAAGCCCCTGACGACGTGTTCCTGGAAACAACACACACACACACACACACACACATACATACGCAGACACACACTGGGTTTGAGTTAATGTCTGATGATGCTCGTCCGTGTGTCTCCTCTCCTCTTTATGAGGTCCAGCGTGTTCCCTTTTGGACATGTTGAAACTAGCAGAAATGATTGATTGTTGGGTCTGCAGAGCTAAATATTGGCCTCTGCTCTGTCTCATCCAGCAGCCTGATTCCTCCGTCCCTGCAGGCGCAGGACTGCAAAGTTAAAAGGGGGTAATATTATTATGGTATAGTAAGCAACAGGATGCAGCGTTATATAAGAAATCAATGTAATTTATCTGAGCATGCTCCAAAAAACGCTGTCATCCGGTTTCCTCTGTACAGGAAGGAGGAGTGTGACGACAAGAAAGTAGATTTGGATTTCTGATTTCCTCTTTTTGTCCTCTGCTGCGCTCTCTCTCCCTCTCTCCGTCTCTCTGTCTCTCTGGAGTTTTGGTTTCTGTGTTGTGTAGCATTGATTGCATGGAGGCAGAAAAGACAGCTGAGGATGAAATCAGGGACGGAGTTAAGCACCCAGATGAGGTTACACTCGCATCCTTTCGCTGCAAAGCTACAGTAGACTCTGCAAATGTCTGCGATGTATTTAAAATACAGATTGAGTTGAAAAGATTGGATGTTTGAATAGAAAACCTTCATTTTGTGTCGATCAGTTTCCTTTAAAAATCTGGGACAAACATGGTCACTTCACGTTTGGGAACGAAGAAGAGCAGTTTAAGAGTTTCTGAACGTCCTTTGTTATTATTTTTGTCATTGTGCGTTAAATTTTTTCAATAGTTTAGGACCGCCTCAGTCCAGTTTCTCAGCAGGACTCTTCTCCTGTTGTCAGAATGTGGTTTGGGATCATCTGAAGGTCTTCCCTGAAAAAGTCTTTGTCTGGATGTCAGCAGATGTTGCTTCTAAACCTGGAGATATTGTTTAAAATTGAGGATGCAGCATCTATGATTTCTGGTTCTTCATTGAAAGGACAACTGGACTTACTTGGGATATTTCGCCTTTAAGTCCAGTTGTCCTCTCCAAGAGAGTGTTAGATTTAATCCATCAGACCTCAGGACAGTTCACGGACAAGTGGTTTTAAACTGGGTAACTGGAACCTTTCCTTTCTTTTGTTTCTCACTTGCTGTGCAGACCTCCTTCTCTCCTTTTGACCTCTGACCCATCTTTGGAGTCATTTTTAGAGCAAATATGGTCATATTTACTTTAACCTCTTAAGAGAAAATAAGCTTTCACTTTTCTTTTCTTACCTTTCTTTTCTTATTTGGTTATTTCTGCAACTTTTCCGACGTCTTTTCAGTTCATTTTATTTCAGTTTCACCCTCTCAATGTGAAGATTTCAGATTTACAGTAAAACTAACAAAATAGCCATGCTGTTGTCAGAATGTGGTTTGGGATCATATGAAAAACTAATTGTCTGAATGTCAGCAGATGTTGCTCCTAAACCTGGAGATATTGCCTAAAAATGAGGATACAGCATCTATGATTTCCAGATCTTCGTTGAAAGGACAACTGGACTTACTTACTTAAGTAAGTCCAGTTGTCCTTTCCAAAAGAGTGTTAGACTTTGATTCTTTAGACCTCGGGACAGTTAGTGATATTAGGCCCATGCGGTGACTCCAACTCCAGAGTCCTGATGCTCCTAAACCTGTAGATATTGTTCAGCATTAACGGAGCCTTCACAGATGTGGAACATACCCATGACGTGGACTTCGGCGACCCCCAAACTACAGAGGTGGTGTCTCTGAACTGTGATCTGTTAATAAGCCAATCGTTCCCTCTCATACGTTATTTCCAAGAAGAATATCAAACTGTGATTCGTCAGACAACAGGACAGTTTAGGGTTCCTCTTTGCCTGGTGCAGCTTTTAATCTACAATGGTGATTACATAACATCCTCTCTGGTCGCTATGGTAACGCTTAAACATGCCTTCAAAATAAGATACGCCGCAAAACAAATATAAACTCACCAGAACGCTAGATCAGCAATAGCCTGAGCTTGTTTCTCTGCAACAAGATGGTCTTTATCAATCGTCTCCAACAACCGTGTCTCAATGTCCGCTGCTATTTCCTTAATGCGCCGAGTGATGCATCTGTTCTATCTTTTCATCGGCAGCCTCCTCCGAAAAGTTCACAGCAAATGTTTTTAGCCGCGGGAAGGATTAATTCTTCACCAGTAGTAAACGGCTTTTTAGCCTTAGCAATACCGTTAGCCACCAAGTATGACGCTTTCAGTGCACTTGCGCTTGGCGAAGCATTTTTGAGGGCTTCACTGCCTCATTGGAGAGCGGGTCGCCACGTATTATGCCACGTGGGAATCACCTGTCATGATAAATCCATATTTTAAGTAGGTTTCTTGGTATCCTCTGTTAAAATCAGCTGTTTTTTACTCACTTTGCTAGCTTGTGGGTTTGATATTAGCGTTAATGTGTCACGTGACCGAGACAAGCATCTTGACACGTGTCATAGACGGATGTTCAGACGCGGATAATAATTAAAACAGAAATAATGTAAGTTATTTATTCTTTCTGTGCGGCCCGGTACCAAACAACCCGAGGACTGGTACCGGTCCGTGGCTCGGGGTTTGGGGACCGCTGCACTACAGAGTCATGTCTGTTTCTAATGCAGCGAGTCACAGCCATCCGGTTTTGTTTTTTGACCATGTACAGAGAGAGTTGTGAGTTGTCTTTAGGGTCCCCGTCCCAACCGGATTTAAACATGAACTTTTCTACTCCTAACTGGTCTCCTGGTGTTTTTGCACTTTTGACTGTTAAATATCGACTTCATAGTATTTAAAAACCTTCAAATTCTGTTTTAATGAGCATTATCTGCAGAATCCAAACTTTAATAGAATTGAAGTTGCAGTAAAAAACTGGGGAATTGTCCTTTAGTCCGTTTGTAGAGAGTGAAAGGTGCTAAAGTTCTTGCAGCATGGCCCCACTTTGTTTTACAGCCCATTAAGCCCCCGATTGAGTCCATGTTATTTAATGATACCCATCAACTTTTCCCTACCAGTTTGCTTGTACCATGATGTAAGTGTGACTCTCAGGCAATGGAAACTCTTAAAAACCCGGAGAAACTCGCACAGCTGGACCTGAGCCAGATTAAAAGGTTGCTCGGCCCGGTTCTGCTCTGCGTTTGTGTCGTTAAATCAAAAGGAGGTGAGCCGAATGCTATCAACTGTTGGTGAATTTGACCTCCTTACCCCCGAGTAGGATGTTGGCAGTCAAACCGTTCGGGCTTTTCTGAACTGTTTGTTTGATTCAGTGTCCAAAGCTCCCAAAGCACAATTGTGAATGGGCTCAGATTCCGTTAAAAAAAAGGCCCGCACAATGGTGTCTGTCGAGCCGGGCTGCACCTGGGCTCGGCATCGCTGACTCTGCTTTTTCTGTTCAATCCCAGTCGAGGTTTATTCGGAGAGAGTGTCGCTGAAATCCACACCGCTGCAACTCATTATGTTTCGGATCAAGATATCACATTTGTCGCCACTTGACAAGGAGGATGAAGAAGTGTTTTCACCCAGAGTTGCCCTTGTTTCACTTCTCCGCATCTCCTTTTAATCCACGTCAAGTTTCCTTGTTTTACATCCGCTTGTATCTAGCAATTCCTCATCTACGCAGCAGATGAAGTCCAGACGACTTTTGCACAAGAACACAGAGTCCCTAACACTTCAGGGCAGAAAAAATGAGGTCTGAGTGACTGGTTTTTCACAGCACTTGACAGATTTCCACAGTTGTTCAGCCAGAACAGCCTGTTTAAGTCAGTGTGGATTTCTGTGATGGAAGTGAAAAGAAACTGACCAGTGGCTGGTTATGCCAATTTGACTTTTGGTGTACAGCTGTCAGAGAAGAAGGAGAGTATTAGTCTGAAACAGGGTGTGCTGTATGTGAAGCATGAAGCAAATGGAGATGTGAAATATTGACGAAAGGACATTTAAAAGGTCAAAGCGGAAGGACTAAATGACTCAGGACAAAGTCTCTTTTTTTGTGGTGAAAACAAGCGGATTAAACCAAACTTTAGAAAACAGTCTTTTTTCAGGTTTTCGTGTCTTCAGTGTTTTTCAGAGACGTCCACTCCCCTTACCTAAGGACCATTCAAAAATGCTGGATGCAGTTTTCGTGGGTCTCGCCAAGATCTCTGCTTCAAATTACCGATAAAATGCTTTTGTACTCTCAGTCAAGAATCTGTCATGGACTTAAATTAGGCACACAAAGAGCTGACTCCGCCTGTACTAATCCTGGTATGATAGAAATAGTTTAACGTTGTGTTGTTTCATATCACATTATACAGAGTCGTACTCAGTATCACTTGGTTAGTACAGTATTAAACTATACTACAGTCAAATCGAACATCATATCATAATATTTTATTTAACCATCATTTCAGGTTATGACCAACTGAGATAGAGATCTGTACCTTTAGGAGGTCAGCAGCACGTCTGAAATATTACATGACAAAGAGTCAAAAACAACAATTTAAAGGTGCAAACCAGTGTGCATATAAATAAAAATCAGTGTATTTCAGTATGGTAATGAACAGTATCAAATGGTAAACTCCAGTATCATATCATATTGTATCGTATCATATCGTAGCGTAGCATAGCATTACGAATTGTAGCATAGCATATTATATTTTCTCATATCACAGCATAGCATTTTGTCGTATAGCATATTGAAGCATTGCATATCATATTGTATCATATAATAGCATTTATTAGCATTTAGTAGCCTAGCATTTTGTAGCATAGTATATTACGTTATAGTGTAGCATTTCATAGCATTGTATATGGTCTTGTATAAAGTGTAGAATTTCGTAGCATTTCTTTGCATAGAATGTGGTACTGTATTATGGTGTAGCATTTCTTAGCAAAGAATTTTGTAGCATAGCATTAAATAGCGTATTATATCGTATTGTATTGTAGTGAAGCAGTTGATAACGTAGAATTTCAGTGCATTTGCATATCATATCATATCATATTTTAGTGAAGCTTTTCATAGTGTAGTATATTGTATTGTACTGTAGTATACCACTTCGTAGCATAGCATTTTGTAGCATATTTTTATCATATTGTATTGTAGTATACCATTTTGTAATATATAATTTCTTAGCATTTTGTACTGCAGTATATCGTATTTTATCCTAGTGTAGCATTTTGTAGCCTAGAATTTCGTAGCATTTCACAGTGTAGTTTATCGTATTGTATCGTAGAGTAGCATAACATATCATTGTCTCATATTATTTTGTATCATATCATTTTGTACCGCCTACTCATAACGTACTCTTTCATATTGAATCATGTTGTATAAAAAGTATTTTATATGAATCGTTGAATCGTTTATATTTTACGGTTTTAAATGATAAAATATCGTGAAGAATTGTATCCTGTGGTTCTATATCATATCCTACTATCTAAAGTGGTATAATATATAATATCGTAACATGTCTTATTGTTTGGTGTCCAGTCAAATTCATATCCTATTATAGTACATCGAATTATATCCTTTCATACCTTTATTGTTTTGTATCAGTGTATGATTGTGTGTCATATTATATCATATATCATATAGTATGCTGTTGTGTTGGACTGCCTTATATCAAACCCTATCTTATCCTATCTAAATTTTTACTAAGTCAAAGGTAGAGACTTTAAAGAACTGTTAAATGCTCTTCTTAAACAGGCCGTCAGGTTAACATCCCTCACACCTCTCAGTTTATTGATCCCTGATTGAACAGAGCAAAACTTCAGACGGCGAAGGTCATCAGAATAAATCCAGCCTCACTCTGATTTCAGAGAGGAGAGAGAAAAAAGAGAGTGAGGGAGGAAATGAGAGACAGAGAAAGGTCACATTTGGTTTGAAATTTGATTATAATGTTTAAGTGTGTTTTTTTTTCTTCTTATTTCAGCTCAGGTTCCTGACAGTGACGAGCAATTTGTTCCTGATTTTCACTCTGAGAACTGTGAGTACACCACTTTCACTTTCTCTGCCCTTTCAGTGTTTCAGTATGTTTGAATGTGCTGTATGGTTTCTACGTCACTGAGCGGTTTCTATATATGCTCAAAAACAGCCCGAGTCTGTGCTGCATGAACCAGATCGTGGTTTTATCATCTATCGGATCTGATATTGATCCGTGCGTGGTGCAGAGCCGTGCATCGGGAGTCTCACGCTCCTTTGAGTTTCGGCTTGTTGAGCTGTTAATGTAATTACAGCTGAAGTATGCTTGTCATGAGAAAGTGAGGAAGAAACCAGCGGTCAGATTTGTGCTCTGGGACCTCCGGAGGCTTAGTTAGGGATACTGTGACCCGCTGATGTTACAGTAATCTCTTTGGCAGACCAAACTTAGGCTCTAATGAGCCGGTCATCACGAGGTGAATTTGGATGCTGCTGTTGTGTGCTGCCGTCATTTATTTGCATGTCTTTGAAAAGCTGAATGGGAACGGCCCAGGAAACCAGTAAAAAATGATTCAGGCCACAGGTACAAAGATTGGCCTTTGTGTACATCGGAAGGTGTAAAATGGAAAAGCAAATTCCTGGGCTGCACAACTGAGCGGCGATTTGAATGCGTTTCCCTTTCTTGTTGTGTGTCCCAACAATAGCGATTCAGGATCTGGGCGGGGGTACATGTCGCTCTACAAACACTTCTTTTCTGCCTCATTGAACTTGCTGCGGGCTTCTCCATCTTTTAGCAATGACTCTGAAACGGCTCTAAACCTAAAGAGAGGTTTGAAACGCCTCCAAGAATAATCTCACCCGCAAAGTAAAAGTGACAGCTTTCAGTCGCAGTCAAAAGCACTTCCTCTCATTGAAGCCCCATGTGTCTTTTGTGTGTAAACATCATGTGATTTCACCAGCTCCGAATCACAACTGCTCGGCCCCTCCGTGACACATGCCCTGAGCGAGATTGTCGCTGTCGGCCGGCCAACAATGCGGAGGAGGAAGTGCAGATGAACCTCAGGGCAGGCAGAGGTCGTGTCTACTTAACCCCCTGACCTGTCAGCCAATCAGCTGTCAGGCCTTTTGCTAACGGTTGAGCAGGGTATGATTTGCAGGGTCACGGGGGCTTCGGTTTGACGGGCAGCTCACTTATACGCGGCAGAGACACTCCTGCGTTGACAGACAGTGTCCCTGCTGGTCTCAGTCAATAGCCGCAGAGTCCAGTAAGAGTGTCTTTATTCAGCTTTGATTTATGGGAAATTGAGGCTGACAAGCGCCGATAAATATATTCATCTCTGTGTCTTTTAAAGGCGAACAAAGGCGCGAGTTTTCCCATCGTGAGCTGAAGCCTTTCTCAGTGTCGGGTGCACTTTTAAAAACAAGTGACTCACCTGTTTTGAAACACCGCTGTGAAAAATAAAGAAAAAAAACAAAACACATAAAGCGAAGCTCTAATCCCAGGTGACCGGAGTATAATTGAGGCTTCTATTGGAAACGGCGCCCTGGTAAAATTAAACATTGCTGTTTACTGAGTCAAGTTTTTACCTGCTTGGGTGTGGTGTTGACGGAGAGAGAGGGGGAGGCAGAAAGAGTGTAAATGCAAAGACGAGAGGCTAAAAAACAAGGAGACATGCAGGAATGTTAGATTAGAGGAAGGAAGGGGAGGGGGGGGCAGAAGGAGGGATTGTGCAATACCTGCACATCTGGTAAATCTATCTCATCTGGTCGCTCAGTTTACGGCTAACAAGCGTGCTCTGTCTGCAAGCTGCCAGTGCAGGAAGGTTATGCAAACATGCAGCTTTAATATACTGACTGACCTGTTTGATAAGAAAAAAACGAGTATGGACGCTGATCACTTCTTTTAACAACTCTCTGTACGGCCAGGTTCTGAGATTTGAAAGTGAAAGAGTCTTAGAGAGGAGAGTTTGGGATCTACTTTGTCTTATTATTTTTATTCAGAGGATCTGCTTAATGTGGAAAAAACTAAACTTATGTTGTTTTTATCTACAAGAGCATCACAAGAAACACTGTCAGAGAAATATTGTTCATATTGACGGACAAGAAACTGAGCTTGTGTCTAACGTGTCTTTTAAAGAACATTTTCAGCATGTTGTTAGAAAGCTGAACGTTTTACTATAAAAACTGTTTCTGTTTTTGTGGAGTCTACATTCTTACCTCTTCTTGATTATGGTGATGTTTTATACATGAATGCTTCTGCTCAGAGTCTGTAAATGTTGGACGGTGTTCACCATGGAGCTCTGAGACTTCTTTAAGCACTCGTCGGCTTGTTCATTGGTACGTTTTCATTTACAAAGAATCCTCCTTATTGATCTTAAAGGACAGATTACACAATCTAAGATCATTGAGATTTAGACAGTTTGTTGTCCCCAGAGTCCAAACCGAAATGGGTGAGAAGGCTTTCAGGTTCTCTGCCCCCTCTGGGTGGAGTAATCTGCAGATTATAATCTCTGACTGTTTTTAAATCTTCAACTGATGTTTCCTCACAGTTTTGTTCTGTACTGAGTCTGTGTGACTGTTTGTTGTAACGGTGTATTGCTGCCATTCTTGGTCAGGTCTCAATGGGACAAAAAAAACAGAGTTTAAAAAAAGGGTCAGGACTCTTCTACTACAGAGCCGTGCTGTTGTAATCCCTGTAGTCTGTGGTTTGTCGGTGTCGTGCTGAAACATGAACCTGTTTATGTTGTTCAGTACTTTCATACATCCCTCTAACATCAAAGTTTCTTCTTGACTTGACGTGGTTTTAACCTACTTTTCATCGACAGTGATTATTTGAAGTGATTTCCACTTTAGAGTCACGTCTGTTTTTAATGCAGTGATTCCTAAAAAACCTACAGCAGTGATCCTGTGTTTGGTTTCCAGCTTTTTCCACATATTTTGGTTGTAAGCGTTTGATTCGATGTGTTTGAAAAAAGCTTTAAATGAGGCTTTTGTTGACATTTTACACAGAGTTCCTGTTTGACACGAGACACTTGTGATTGTATTGCAACATCTTATTTTTCACTCAACTCTTGTGATCGGAGAAAGGGTGTGGTTTAAATCACATCCAGAAGAGCTGAGGATTAATGGTCTGTGTTGACAGCACCTGAAGAGTTCACCCTCGCCTGACGCTAAGCTGTCGGACAGATTCTTTTGTCTGTTTTTCTGCCTGCGGGGAAAAAAACACGCGGAAGTGTCAGTCAAATTTATCGAGCACTTTTAATTAAAACAGCTTCAACGAGTCGCTGCTTCGCTTTCTGTGTCCGAAACAGTCGAACGTCTGAGCCGCAGCGTTTCACGAGGCCCTGCCTGCTCCGAGAGCTCGTTCTTCTTTGTCCAAGTATGTTGTTTACACTTGGAGCAGCTCGAGAGATGTGACCCATTCATAAATTTTCTTCCCTGCGTGCGTAAGAGGAAGTGTGCCTCCCCCTCCCCCCCGCTCCCTCTCTCTCTCCCTCTCTTTCAGTCCTTTACTGCTCTCTCCTTCGCTCTTCATTCATAAAAAAGCCCTACAGTACTACAGAGCCCCCTCCCCTCTCCCTCTCTCTGACACCCCCTCCTCTCCGAGTGGATACTCCAAACCCCTCCCTCCCTTCCTGTGTCTGTACAAACTGAGTCGAATTTAAAAATCTGGACTCCCCCTCCCTCCCCTTTCCCTTTTCTCTCCCCCCTTTCTCTCTCTCTCTCTCTCTCTCTCTGCACACACACTTTGAGTGTTCCAAGATGTGAACTAATCCAGCGATTTCAGAGTTGTGTGGGACGATTGTTTAGTTTTGTGCCTTGCTGTAATTATATAGGAAGTTGTGGCTATAGAGTGCCGTTACTGTGCTTTCCAGAGAGTTTAGCAAAAGAAGAGAAAGGGAGAAAAAAAAGGGAGAGAGAGAGAGAGAGAGGAAGTAGAGGAGAAAACGAACAACATGACAGTCTGCAGGAGTTATTAAAAACTCTTTGCTCGCTTTAACTCGTGTTGCTTTTGTACGACTCTGATTCTTAAAGACTGTAAAAAAAAAAAGCCACAAAAACAACTCATCAAAAATAACTGATGAAAACAGGAAAATTAAGGCCACATTAAGAAACAAAAATAAGACTTTGATTTAAAGTCGAGAATAAAGTTGTAAAACCATTTCTTATATTCTAACCTGTTTATGATGACAGTTGTCGAAATGAGAGCTATGGAGCATTTCGTGAAAATGTTCTTATATAGATGTTTCTTGGACAAGGAGATATTCACTCATTTGGCACATCAGCACCACATTATCAAAAGTATCAAAATGATTTTATTACGACTTTATTCTGGTAAATTAATCTTGAAGTCTTATATTTTTAATTTGTTTTTTCTTAAAGGCATGGTTGGTGATCTGAGAAGTAGTTGAAACAAATTTGAAGCGTCCCACCCCCTCTGACAGAAGATCCTATACTAGCTTCAAATAGGATTCATCATGTCAGATTGTTAGTGACCAGCGGCAGTAAATGCCAGCTCTGCTAGCGAGCGCCGTCTGGACAGCTACCGTGTTGACATGTCAGAGACCAATGAGAGTTATTTATGTAACATGAGCCACGATAAAAGGAGATAAAAATGACCCGTTCAATAAAAACTCTGCTGTCTCTGCGTCTGTTTTCTCCACCGCTTGAAGGATGACCTGATGTTTACTCGAGTTAGATTTCTCACTTGGTCACATTTCCTCTTCGACTCCGCCCTTTCTTCTGTCGGCTTGCGTTTTCTTCCCACTTTTGGCGGTGGGGCGAGCAGAAGTTGGTTTTTTTTGTTTGTCCTTCTCCATCACAGCTCCTGTAGCTAAGCTGCTACGCTACTTTTAGCAGCTCAGAGCTCCGAAGAGGGCCGGGAGAGTGGGAGGGGACGAGTCGGAACTACGGGAGAGGGGTGTGTCGAATACAGCGAGGTGATTGGATGGGGAGGCGGAGCAGGAGATTGGCCAATAGGAGCTGTCCAGGATGGATGGCTCCCATTGGTCGATGTTTTTGCAGCCCTGCACCTGATAGTGTGAACAGATTTTTTTCGTTCTTTTTTCTCTTCACTTTGTGGAGATCGCACTATAGGACCATGATCGCCATAGAAACGAGGTTGCCAGTATGCAACTACGGCCTCTTCAACCACCACACAACACTCACATTCATACACCAGTGGAGGACACACACTGGGAGCGAGGTTGGGACAAGGACACAACAGACAGATTAGGGATCAGGCGAATCAAACCGCCAACCTTTCGGTTCTTGGACGACCGCTCTACCTCCTGAGCTTCTGCCGCCCCGAAAGGTTTCCAGTTAAAAGGTTTCATTTATGATTCCACGCTTTGGTACGGCAAAAATGATGGATCTCATTTCTGAAGTTTGAGGAGAAAGTTATTTAAAAGAAAAGAAAAGTTTTCTCTAAAGAGGTTAAAGTAAAAACGGTCATATTTGCTCTTTGAATGACTCCAAAGATGGGTCAGAGGTCAAAGACAGAGAGAGAGAGAGAGAGAGAGAGAGAGGCCTGCACAGCGAGTGAGAGACAAAAGAAAGGAAAGGTTCCAGTAACCCACTTTAACCAAATCCTCTCAGCAGCGCGTCCCTCTGCCTCTCTGTGATCTGCTTTGTCATGAATTCCCAGCCGTCCTCTTGTTTGGGTTGTTTTCCTGGATCAGAACCGGCCCAATCAGGCCCCTATTTGGCACACGGGACCACGGGTGAACCAGCCCCTCCCCCCCTAACTCCCTCCCCTCCCCCGAAAAGAGAAACATGCAGCTCTGTGTTCTCCACTTTCCAAAATACAGCTGCTATGCAACAAAGTGCGCGAAAACAGCCAGGTGCCTGCCAGATATGCATGGATACCGCCGCTCGCTTCCTCGCTCGCTCCCTTGAGGAGGCGGAGCTTCTTCAGTCACTGTTTGTTGCTCCGTTTTGTTTTGCTTATGAGTAAAACGCTCGATAGCTCTCGTACGTGAACACATGATTCCTCCTGACAGCCTCTCATGCATTTACTCAAGTGCGCACATAAACACACTTGGCATGGTGAACACGCACACACACGCACACACACACACACACACACACACACAAACACACACACACACACACACACACACACACACACACACTCAGCTTCAGCCGCGCAGATTTATGAATGGGCTGGTTGTGAGAGACTGGCTGAGGCAGCACATTGAGTTAAGGGGAGTGAACCTCCATTCATGACATTGGGGGGACGTTAGCGGAGCGTTTACGACACCTATGAGAGGTGAAGCTTGTTTTTCACTCTGTCTTTGTCTGGCTGTGCTGTTTCTCTGCTTCTTAGTGTTTTTGAGGCGTTAACTCTTATTTTCATCTTTTTTTCTTTGCAGCTTGTCGCCTCAGAAATCCCTGCAAACACGTCTGCGATCCCCTCAACTCTGAGAGCGTTTCTGCCGAGTTAGTTTATAGGTTTGGATGTGAATAAAGACACTGAACTCCAGCTAAAGTTAATATTAGTTTACCTCATTATTCGGCCATCTTTAGTCAATCAAATCCTGTGAAAATGGGTTTTTAAAGGTCGAGCATGTGGAGTAATGTGCATTTAACAGCTTCCAGTGGGGAAGTAAAAGCCGTACCTCTGCGTGTTGATTCAGAACAGCCCCGTCAAAGCCGGGGGCCGCGGGGATTTGAGCTGCAGAGCCCGAGTGTCAGCAGCATAGCTTTGTGAATGGACGGCAGTGTGTGTTTTTTTACAGGCGAGGGAGAGGTGGTGTGTGTGTGTGTGTGTGTGTGTGTGTGTGTGTGTGTGTGTGTGTGATGGTCGTATGCGTGCCTGTGGATTTCAGAGGCCGTGTTGGCGAGTTTACTCTGACGGGACGGCTCGGCTCTCTGCAGCTGGAATGTTTTTCTCTGTTCGAGACCAAAGACGGGAACAGGGGCTGCGAACGGGACGGGCGAGGCTTTAGAATAACAGCGATCCAACTAGAAACAGTGGTTAATAAGGAGATACTGGGGCAGCGTGAGACATAGACGTGGTCCTGGGAAGACCAAGTCTGGAAATGGAGATAACAGCCGTGGTTTTAGGATTAGACGAAGGTTAAAGATTCAAACTCAGGAGAAGTAGAAGTGCTTATTTTGGTTTAGACATTAAAACAACAACAAGACTAAGACCCCCACTTCAGACAGGCTTTTACCAGGTTCACGTATCACCACTTCTTGTTCTTCCTTTGGGTACAAAACCACCAATACATGTAAAGAAGACCACATAAATCTGATCTGCTCTCCCTCTGGAAAAAAAGGGGGGTAACAGCTCTTTAAAGGGACTTTTCACCCCTCTCCAAACAGCTCTGATCATTTTCTCTTCAGATGTGGTTGGATGACACATCGTTTGATCTAGATCGTTTCAACCCCAGCCGTCTGATCCTCGTGTTTCTTCTCGTCGTGAAAGTATCGCCAAATTCCCAGATCATAACTGAAGAGACGAGGATATAAATCCAAGATCTACCTTCAAAGATCTGTTTGTTTTTTCACACTCAGATCTCCCGCCGTTTTCAGTCAAGGTCCAACACATGCACGTGTGCGCGTATCGACCCGCTAAACGCGCCAACATGTGAGCGGAGGAGGTGTCTGCAGAGCGTGGACTCGCAGTAACCTGCTGACACAGAGCGGTAGGTGTCCAGAGCGAGCTGAGAGCCAGCGTATGACCGTATCGATCCTCGCTGATCCGCGGGAGGAGACGGAGGAGATGGAGAGGGTTGATAGATGTCTTGATAGAGATAAAGTGGAGATAAATCAGCGCAGGGGAGAGGGGGAGAGAGAGAGAGAGATGGGCAAAAAAAGAGGGGTGTTACCAGACGAGGAAGAGTGTAGATGTCGCAGGTGGGCTGATAATTTCGAGTAAGGTGTCCGGGCCGTTCAGATAAAGCAGATAACACCTACAGACAGCGGCTCAGACACACATGCATGCATCTAGACCTCCCCTCCTCCTCCCCCGGCCGGGTGAGGGTGAGGGCCGGGAGCTCATTATATCACTGGAGTAACAGTGTGCAGGAGGATCGATCGCTGCATTAAACATTAAGAGGGGACAGCTATATTGGGGGGCCGAGAGATGGAGAGTGAGGAGTCAATATTGTGCCAGATTAATTACATCCACCCCACGCCTGTGACGGCCTGTCCCTCTCGCTGCACATGTCCCGGGACGGGGATGTATTGTTATCGGCTCCGCTAAACAGCAATGGAGGGGCCAGATTTATGGACGGTCAATGGTCGTTTATAAAGAGCCAACGCGGCACAATTGAAAGTGAAGTGGACAATGGGGAGAACGTGAGCTGTCAGGGCTCGCTACCAAACCAAGAGAAGATGATCAGAATGATTATGCCCCTGAGCAGCACACCTTCGGGTTCTTGTAGAGTCCACGTCTCAACGGGTCGGGGCTGTTTCTGCTTTGACCTGAGACCTGTACAAATCAGAGTTTTCCAACAACATGAATTCAAGGTCAAAAGTGTAAAGACCGCTCCGAGGAAAAGCTGAGAACTAGTTCAGACAAGAACTTTCCCATCCCGCCGAACAAACGCTGCGACCTATTTCCAGTCGACGAGAGGGAAGTGAAACTTTGATGTCTGCAGAAATGCACTCTGCTGCTGCCTTTCCCATGATGGGTGTCATTCACATCTACATCCTGTTAGCCAACTACAGACGCCGCGTCTAAAGCGCTTCAACGGACAAAAAAAAGGGAGAAAGAGAAACACGTTAGTGAGACGAGCCTCGGTGTTCTTCCCGGCCAATCGTCTCTCTCGCTGTTACCGGCGTTCTTTCCATCAATCTCGTTAGGCTTGTTTGGCAGGTATCTGACAACCATTCTTTAAATATTCAAGGAGCCTGAACCATTATCAGATGGGAGAGGACGACCTGTAAATCAGATAGAGCAGACACTAATGGATCCAACACTCCCAGAGCACACACACAGACACACACAGACACACACAGACAGACGGACGGACGGACAGTGAAGCGGCTCTCAGGCCAGATGAGGATGAGCCGAGCTGATTTTTTTCCTCTCTGTATCTTCCTGATTGTGCAGTGACCTGAGAAGTGCGCACACATGTTCGGCACATGTTTCCATGCATCAGTGGAATGACTGGATGCACTGTGCAGCCGGAGCGGGTCTGGATCATATTGTATCGCCTCTCCCTCTCTCTCTCCCTCTCCCTCTCTCTCACCCTTCCTCTATCTCTTCCAACTCGGCTAAAACGCAGTAAAAACCTCCTCTCAGAAAACTGCCCTCACCCTTTCTTATTTCATCGTCCGTTAAGAAACCAGCGACGGCGTCAGACTCAGAAATAGCTCCCAAACTCGGTCTGCAGAAGCTCAGCATGCCACCGTGTCTCAAACTTTAAAATAACCATGAAAATATAGGTTCATTCTGACTTATAATGCATGTGTTGACAGTCTGATACTTTCAAATTACAATGTTGCTGCTCCCCATTACGCCTCCTCCTCACCACAATGGAGACATGCATCCAGATGAGCCGCTAATGTCATTTTCAGCCCGTGTGAATCAATACTTTTCTGGTTTTTAACCTTTTAAAGCTGCTTTTGCACGATTGGCTTTCTGCAGGTGGAACATGTGGCAGCTTTGAACCATCTGTATCAAGAGAGACAAGAACCAGATCTAAAGAGAGGTGTCCCTGACGTGTCCCCTTTAGGAGAAGGACTCGAACCTTTTCTCTGCGATTGGAGCCATTAAGCTCGTATTTACATTACGGTCACATGTTCTTCGCTTTAGCTGGATCCAGTCACCCTGTTTGACACTGGGCCTGGTGTCCTATGAGTTATTGTGTGCAGGGCTGTCATGTGCTGCAGACTTCCAGAGGCTTAAGACTTGGCCAAGTAACACATAAACATCCAACGTAAAACTCTCCAGATCCGTGGCTGTCTTCTGCTGGATTTCCCTTCACCAGGACCTTTAATGGTAGGAAACTCTCTGTCAGGGAGATCAGGGGGTTCATGGTGAGGTCTTGCCAACCACTCTCAACAACTCGATCAGAAGTAAAACCACATAGATCAGAGTATAAGGTGGTTTTTGCTCCTTGATACGTCCCCCTCCGCTACTTTTCAGCTCATAGCAACTGGGCCATCTCCTGTGATGAACCAAAACAATCGACAAACAAGTTAGCATGAAGCTAATGAGTTGTATTTTTAGCGCTTAGCTTCCAACAAGAAATTTCAGCTGTTCGATGTGTGGGTCAACGCCAAAGAAAGCAGAAATCGCCAAGACCAGTTTGAGGCACATGGGTCTGGTGCTTCTGAATGTTTTCACAGTCACAGTCCTTCAGTTATGATCCTGCTGGAAGGTCCATTGAGTCCACTATGGATTGCTGTATGTCAAGCGCTTCACTAACCTGATTGGTCAAAGGTCTGTAGGATCACCAGCGCCCCCTGGAAAAATGTGATGAACTGAATAGTTCCAGACCCATTGACCAGGAAGAACTGGTCTGACGTGGGCTAGGCTAACCCCCAATTTCCACTGCATCCGGAACAGCTACGAAAAGTCTGTATCCGTCAATTGTAGTTGATCGTAACCATTCAAGTTAACGTTTCAATGTCCACCGCCTTCTTTCCGTTTCGCTGCAGATCGACAGACTCTGCAACTGATCGCAAGAGTTCTACTTTTTTCTGGACGCCGGAGCATGCTGGATAAATTCAGCACAGATTAACCCGTGCTGGAAAGGAACTCATTATTGCGCTATTGCACGTAATTCTGCTGGTTCTTTTGAGTTCTCACGATTATTGCTGTCCCGGATGAGGGTTGTCTTATACTTGGACCAAGACAGAGAAGATTCTTCATAATTTTGGAGATGATCAGATCATGCTGATTTTGTGAGCCGAGTATTTTGCCAAACCGGACGCTGTTTGAGGCAGAAAGCTTTCCTTCAACTCCGATCCAAGTTTTTTGGAGCGATTCTAGTAAATGAGACGAACACTTTGGTGATTTTTATTAATCATGACAGACATCGAATGAATCAAATTTGTGACACTCAGCCAAAATGCTCCTCAGCCCTTTTTTTATGTGCCGATGATCAATATGTTTGACAGGAGGGTGTATACTGTGTGTTTTTAGGAATCCCAGAGGAATCAGAGAGTGTTTCCTGACGTGTTCACACCACCTCCGTATGGCTCAGCTGAGGGGCCCATTGTGTTAGAGTGGTGTGTTAGTGTGTGTGTGTGTGGGGGGGGTTGCCATCCCCTTCTCTTCTGGTTTGTTTGTGGTGGGTGTCTGTTGAATGGGACACCCCCCCCTCCATGTAATGATCCCTCTACTTCCTAAAGCACTCAACCATGACCATCACCTTTCACCCCGCAGCCTCCCCCTCCAAAGAGCCGACATTTACATATGTAAAAGTCCATCTCCACCCTGTCTTCAGCTGGGGGGTCATCTCTTCAGAGGCGGGTGTAAAAGGGTGATAGTGAAGAAAACAACAAAATAAGGGAGGAGGAGATACAACAAGGTTAGCGTGAGGAAGAACCCTTTGACCTTATCAGTGTAGGAGGTGCTGGGAATCTTCCACGGCTCCCCCAGCGCTACATTTACTCGTACTTTCCTCTGCACACTCCTGCTTTACCTCAGAACTGTCCGCTTTAACACATCCACCCCGTACTCCAGTATATCCGTCTCTTCACTTCTAAACACCTCTCCGGGCTCGAGTTCACGAACCGAGCGTCCCCGAAAGAAGCGGTGAAATACGAGGAGCTCTTTGAGAGAGTGATGTAACATTTAACAAAGCAGTTACAGGAGGTCGTGTTGCCCTGAATAAAAGCAGGAAGAGACGAGAACCCGAAGAACATAACTCTGATCAGATCCGTTTACAAGACTGCCACAGACTTATAAACCTGCGCTGCAGACTTGACATCATTTGGACGAGAGGATTTACTCTGAAACAGCAGAGAGTTTAAAAACGAGGGTTTGTTTTAAGGACTGTTCCTCCAACTGTGAATGATGTTAAAGTAGCAGAGATGAAAAATACTTCTGTATCTGCATCGGCTCGAGCCCTAATGATATATGAGAGAGAGATCTGGGACCAAACCACCCTACTGCATAAACCCCGAGTTCACTGGTACCAGAATGAAGTCTCGACGATGTTGCAATTTTTTAAGTGTTTAGGGTCAGGATTAGGGGTTAGGGTAAAATCACTGTTCAGGACCTATTTATGAGCACATTTCAGACCATCTGGAGTTGATAGGTACAAAAAAATTAGGAAAAATATCAAATTTTTGTTAATTGTTAGGGTTACCTTAGGTTTCGGGACTTTAACCACAATCGCTGACCATCGATCCTCTGTGAAACTCAAGGGAACAAGATAGAGATCTGGGACCAAGACCAATCCGCCCTATATCATGAACCCTGAGTTCAATGGTACTGGACTGAAGTCTCTACGACGTTGCGTTCAAAAGCAGTTGGTGATTTTAAAAATCCCCATTCTAGAGAATGAGCTTGTCCAGGGCTGCTACCCTCTATAGTAAGATCGGACACACTTTTTCTAAGTGGTTAGGGTTTGGTAAAGGGTCAGGGGTTAGTGTTAAAATCACTGTCCAGGACCTATTTATGAGCACATTTCAGACCATTTGGAGTCAATAGGTACAAATAAAATTTGGAAAAATATTTTTAAAAAAGTGTTTGGGTACAGGGGTTTTAACCACCTGACTTGTGAACCTCGAGGGAACAAGATAGAGATCTGGGACCGTGACCAAACCACCCTATTTTATGAACCCTAAGTTCACTGGTTAAAAAGTATCAGGCGAATAAAAAATCCCTGCTCAGGTGAATGGTATGGTGTGGGGCTGCTCCCCTCTACAGCGAGATCGGACTCAGTTTGTCTTGTAAGTGTTTAGTGTTAAAATTGCTGTCCAGGAAATATGTAGGAGCATGTTTCAGACCATTTGGAGTCGATAGATCCAAAAAAAAAAGTTTTACGGCTAGGTTAGGGTACAGGGGTTTTAACCACAATCTCTGACCAGCGATCCTCGGCGAACCTGAAGGGATTGAGATAGAGATCTGGGACCAAGACCAAACAACTGTATTTCATGAACCTCGAGTTCACTGGTACTGGAATGAAGTCTCTACGACGTTGCTTTCAAAAGTAATTGGTGGTGTAACAAGTTGATGGGATGGTCTGGGGCTGTTTCCCTCTATAGCAAGATCAGACTCAGTATTTCTAAGTGGTTAGGGTTAAAAAGACTGTCTATGACCCATGTAGGAGCACATTTCAGACCATTTGTAGTTGATAAGTACAAAAAAAAAGATGGTCTGAATTTTTGTCCTCCTAAGTGTGTACAGTAGGAGCAGTTTGGCCTCACCCTCGCTCGAACCACACACTGAGAAATCTCTGGAAAACCCTTTTTCCTTCATCCTGGTTCAAACGGAGATCGTCTCGTACAGTTGCGAGCGTCTTACAGCCTCATATTTATTTGTCCAAATCAAATTCAGACTCTTGAGATCAAAGTATGTTGAGTTTTGTAATTTGCTCCTTGGCTCGCTGATCAATAGCTCCATGGATCGGGTATCCGTGTTTGACAAATTGTTTATCAGAGCAGCAACCGTCTTCTTCTAATTGGAAACACATGCGACGTAACAGACGGCGTTTACGATCACAGGCAAGTACACAAACACAAAACCCTGTCTGATGCTCATTTACCAAATTAATTAGGCTTTCAGATGGGTCACGAATGGATGACTTAATACACACACAAACAGGCTCTCAGATATGGAGACCCTAACCATATGCAGCTGACTGCGAGCCCAGCCCAGCCTGGACCGTTTGAAACAGAACATCCTCATAAAGCGGAGCCACATCAAGAGCAATTTTCCTGCCAATCGCATTAGTGTCTCCACTTGGCTGCACTCTGAGTGTACGCTCTCCGAGGACTGTTTGCAGTTCATGACCACGCTCGAAAAAGAGGGGAGAAGACAAACACAGTAGTATTATTAGAGCGGCAGTCATGTGCCACCCTCTGTGTGCTCGCCTGCAGACGGGCCGTTGGAGCCTCAGAGGAGGCAGGAATCCCATCGTGTCTGTCTGGGAAATCTGGGTAAATGCTCTCTAATCCCGTTGATCTCCTCTAAAGCCAACACTTCCTCACCTGCCTGCCTGGCAGCCATGGGAGAGTGAGCGCAGGCCAAAAATAGGCCGAGAGGAGGTTACAGGGATGAGCAGTTTGATTCGTGGATTCAGTCAAATTCAAATGAAATAAACATGAAAAAAGCAACTTTATGTGAAAAACAAAAACCTTTTTATCATGACAAGAGATTATTTGGGAATCCATGAACAACAAGCTGGTTTTCCTCAAAGACACTTGGACCTACTCCGTCTTATTTTTAAACCCTGCATATTTGATCGAGTTTAAAAGAAGAGCCGCTAAAGTAGGGATGTGATTGTTTTTCAAATTTACTCTGTTTTCTGAACTTTTGACTTCAAACATGACAAGACTGATCATTTCTTTACAGTGGGCCGGTGGATCCAATCCACAAGCTTTATTATCAATGTGTCATTCCTCAGAATCTGTCCGCCGTCTGGCTCTGCTGCGGATCGGTTCAGGTGGCTGAATCAGATGCGCAGGGCTTCTATTTTTGCAGAATGCCGCAGCAGTTTTATGCGGTTACAGAGTGAAAAAATAAAAATAAAATATCCGGTTAATTTTCAAAATAAAATAAAGTCAATATGTTGAACTGTTCTTAGCTTGATAATAGGAGAGACTAGAGTTGTGGAATGTGGGTGTTTATATTCACCACCGTTTATATTCACCAATCTGCGGATCTTATTCTATGACTCCCGGGGAAACACGCAAGAGCTCGTGAGATCTCGTCCAGTCTCGCGAGAAATATCGGTAATCTCGCAAGCGCTTCTCCTCCGATGGCAGCGGATCGGATCTCCTTTCCCTTATGTCATCTCCCACTCTTTCCCTAATTTCCTGCTCCAATCCTAATCATATCCTTTCAAAATAAAAGCACAGGAGCCCAAAAGAGAAAGGGTTTTGATTTGTCCACAGGGGGCGCCAAAATACAAGCAAAAGTTACTCACAAAACAACTTCATAAACCCAGAGTGATATCTCAAACCTATTTTGTAATCTAATAAATCATATGATCAAATTTATCCAAAATATTCTGATAAAAATTTTACAAAATTATCGAAAATATTTGTGAATTTTGGTGAAAGACAAACCGAGTCCAGACTCGATGGCTCTAACTTTTGCTCCTGATTCAGTTAGGTAGACAGTTCTTCCGTTCTCCTGAGTCTTGTCTGACACCAGCTCCTCTCCACCATGTGCGGTTAAAGTCATTTTAATCTTTCCTCTCTTTCTGTCCGCTCTATTGTTCCTCCCTCATTTTTTCACTTTCTATCGCTCGCCTCAGTGGAACGACCGTCTCCTGCTTCATTCAGTCAGCCAGACGTTTTTTTTCTCCTCCTTTTTTGTGAATGGACGACAGTGTGTAATTACCTGGGCTGAGCTTTCAGTGTGGCCCGCTTCGTCAGCTCCACACCCACTCTACACACACACACACACACACACGTACGCACTTTTCAGCATATGTGCACACTGATCGCCAAGATTGCTAATACACACACGCTCCAACGTGCACTCTCACACTCGTGCACACACATAAATACAGGCCTCCCCAGCTGGAAGTGCACAGCTGCTGCTGTTTACCCTGTCGGGACCAGAAAAACATCCTGTACAGTTCTCCGGGTGAAAACCTCCCCTCACATAATAAACACAAGCCCTCGGCACAGTTTGAAGCTCCACTTTGGGTGGTTTCTGTGGCCGTCGAGGCAAAGGTCCCCTCCAGCAGTGCGGCTTGATCGACAGTTTGGTGAGCAGGAGATGGAGCAGATGCCTTTGGGGGGGGATTTAAACTGGAAAAAGTTGCCAAAAAACAAAACTTAAATGTCTCTTTTTGTGGTTCTCTGCTGGAAAAAAAAAAGTTAAACTTCTGGCTAACATCTGGACACCGATCGGAAAGAATGCCAAACACAGATTGGGTGTATATGCTGTTCCAACAGAGGTGTGACACTCGCTTTCATCAGTGTGCAGACATCTCTCTGGCCCGGAGAGTTGTTTACCTCCGAGCTCGACTTTGACAGAGGAAGTTTTGGCTGCTGTTGTGTCTGGAAGAGAGAAGAAAAGTGGGCGAGGACACTTTGGGCTGCAGGAATGCAGTCGTGTGTGAGCGTGTGTGTGTGTGTGTGTGTGTGTGTGTGTGTGTGTGTGTGTGTGTTTATACGTGTCTGTCTGCTGCTCTGTGCTTTAGAGCTGACAGTCACTTAAGCATTTTGGCTGGCACGTAAAGGAGATTCCTGTGCAGACAGAAGAATCTGCATTCAGCTTGAAGCCTGATGACAGTAGAATCAGGGCAGGGCTGAAGGACACAAAGAGTAGACAAAAGCTGCCGTCTGTGTGCCAGCGCTCACCTCTCTGTATGTCTCCACAGCGGTGGCATTTCACAGCCCTCCGGTCAACATCAAGAAGGAGCCGCAGAGCCCGGGATCAGACCCCAGCCAGTCCTGTAGCCACAAGCAGAGCTTCAGCTACCCCAGCGGAGAGCAGTGCCTTTATGCCAGGTACACCAGGTCCTCCCAAAGACACGCCGGACTACAAAGTCCAAACGCCTTCAGATGTTTCACAGAGTCGAAGCACAAACACACTTTCGAACTTATCTCCAGAGTTTCCTCTTCCTGGATGTAGTTTTTTAGGTGCCTTATAATCAGGTGCGCCTTATGTATAAACTCTGGTTGTACTTACTGACCTCAAACCGTTTTTATGTGGTACACAGCGCTCAAAAATCTGTCAAAATGTTTAATTACGACTTCAGTAAGCTACAAAGTCGCACAGCCTGATGGTTTGTCGGAATAAAGTTTGACTTATCTGACTGTTTTCTTTGGCTTAATGCGTTTTATAATCCGGTGTGCCTTACATATGAAAATAGACGCGAATAGACGCGCTCATTGATGGTGCACCTTACAATCGGGAGCTCCTTATAGTGCGAAAAATACAGTGTTTCATCTGTGAGGTTTTGATTTGAATTTGAGTTGATTTAACACCAAACTTTTACACTTGATTTACCTTTTCAGAAACAGATTTCCCCTGACAGTTTCTCAAAAGCGTCTTCTCTGAAATTCTCCAGAATTGTAATTTCTACATCCAGGATTCATCAGTCACATGTTTTTACTCACAAAATGAAACCAAAACTATCTCATAAACCAAAGATTATGAACGCTAACAGATCACTGTAGTTTTCTAACTGTATGACTGTGACTCTTTCTTCATTAGGAGTTTCTGCTTCCTAGTTTTGGCTCCTCGATAAGAACAAAACGTAATTTATTCGAGCCCTGATATGTACGCTGATTTATTACCCTTCTGTCTTTTTACCGACATCCTTTTGTTACTGGAGAATAGAGGAAACAAAACTTCTTCACTTCCCCTCTGAAAACAGTCATCCTCGTCCAATCGGCCGTGTGAGTCATGCATAAATCAACACGGCTAAAACACTGACCGCACGCTATTGACCACTCAACCCCTGACCATTAGTATGTTTGTTATATTGACTGAAAATAACCAGTAAACCTGCCAGCCCTCCCCGGTTGACCCTGTTGTTACATCAGCCTTCATGCATGTATGTATGTATGTCCTGGTTCATGTGTGTTAACGTGTGTTCATGTGTTCAATGTTTCAGTGCCTATGAGCAGAAAAGGGCTGCAGGAGGAGCCAAGAGCTCCTGCCCAGGGACCCCCATGTCTCCCATGCAGCAGCATTATTCCCCCAAACCCGCAACGGCCGGACGGCCTGATGCGGGCTACATGAACCCTGCTGCCACCTCCCAGCCGCTGCCTAGCAACAGTTACCCCATCAACGCCAGGTGATTGATATTTCCCGTGCAAAGAACTCATAATCAGTGCCGCCTGTATTATAGTGAATTCATAATTTATCAACAAAATCTCATCTAAAATGTTGGATTTTTGTATTAAACATGATCAAATTTTAATGTAAACCTGAGTCAGATTAACTCCAGGATGAGATTACATGAAATTTACCCAATTTGTGACATCACCAATTGTGTAATCTCCTTATAAGGGCAAAACAAACGTACCGTATACTATTGTGGGGCATTAGGGCCCCCCAAAATACTCCCATTTTGAATTATTTGTCATTTTGAATCAAGAAATACTGATAAACTCATAATGACCTCTTCGTAGCATGGCAACAGTGGAAGAAGCTCATAGAGAGTTAGGTTCCAGAGTGCTCTGAAGAGCCTTAAAATGTTAATAACTGAAGTTAAATGTTAAAGAGGCTGAAAAAAGTTTCAAAGATACCAATCCAAGAGAAACAGGCAATTTTTTGGGTCTTAAATCAAGCTAGGCGACAAAAACGGAAAAGAAAGAAACGTAATAAAACACGTGAAAATGAGCAGAGTAATTTTAGTTTTAATATTTATTAGGAACATGTTTGTTGAATTTGTTGAATTTTTTAAGCTCTTTTGTGTGAAATTTTTTAAATAATTGATTGACCTGCGTTCAGAAATGTACAAAAATATTATGATATAAAAATATAGAGGTATGCACATCGGCTAGCGGGATAGTTGGGATCAAGTCCGGCCCTGACCATGTGCTCCAAAAATAAATAAATAAAAGAAATATATATTTATTAAAGTATAAAAACATGAGTAAAATCATCTTTGACAAAAACAGTGTTAATGTTATTTTACCAAAAATGACTCAAACCAGAAACAAGTTGATCATTTTCAGAAGCTAAAAATGCAAAAGAAGTTTTTGTGTGAAAGTAACTGAGCGAACATGTTAATAGTCACGAGTACTGCACCATTAATAAATGATTCTTTAATTGCATGTTAAATGAATGAATCAAACATAAATGTTCATGATCATAAAGTGAGTTTTTGTGTCTGATGTCTCAGCTCCAGGTATCAGGGCCCCTCAGGTGACCCCATGTGCCCCCAGTTCCCTCCACCAGGGCAGACCTTCCAGCGTATGCCATCCGCTCCAGCCGGACACGGAGGCAGCGGGGCTGGTGGAGGTGGAGGAGGGGGACCAGGGGGCGGGGGTGGAGGCGGAGGGGTCGGGAGTTATCACCGGCAGCACTCTGACCCCTGCATGCCCTACCTGCAACAGAGCTTTAAGCAGGAGTACCTGGACCCGCTGTACGAGCGGGCGGCTCACATGGGCGGACCTGGGCATGGCAGCGGATCTGGACACGGACACGGGCACGGACATCACCCTCACCCACATCCTCACTCCCACTCCCACTCCCACCCACATCCACATCCACACTCACACCCGCTCCCACACAGGTTCCCACCAGCTCACATGATGGTGAAGCAGGAGCCGACAGACTACACCTACGAGCCTGGTGAGTGACGCTGACTTCTGTCAACCATTTGAGTTCGGAGAGCTTATCTGACTCTATTCTGAGAATTTAGACGTTTATTCTGAGCAAACAAAAAGTCACGACTCTCGTCTTTTGCACTGAAAAAACTCAGATCTTGACAGAGTTTCTGTTTTACTTCGAGCAGTTAAATCTTATTAAACCACGTTCACCTGACAAGTCCAGAAAAAAGTCTCATTTCAAGGTTTTAAGATCTGATTTGCTTGAAATGAGTGAAAAAATCTACCAGTGGAATAAGAAAACAATTAACCGGCAAGTTTTCTGAAACAAAGACATTTCTCATTTTAAATAAACTTGAAAAGTATATTCTATAAATCTTCATTCAGAGGTTTTTTACACACTGCAAACAGTTCAGGTCTTATTTTTGACGTGTCAGATCTTGAGATGACACATTTTGGCTTAAATGAAGCGTAATAAGGACAGAAACACTCACTAAATGTAGTTTTTTTTTAAGTGTAGTAACTCCTAATTCCCTGATATAGACCTAAACTGAAGATGTGCATGAAGAATTCACTTAAAACTTAGTTTACTGTAGAGGGATTTGAACTTGCAACCCTTTTTTCATTATTTCAGTTAAATTATCAGAAAGTTTTTGCATTTGTAGCTTCTCATGTCTCGTAAGAATTTTTGCAGGAATATGCAGTCCCTTTGCATGCTCACCAAAGGTCTTAAAAAAGAGGCGAAAAAGTTAACAGAAATAATGTCCACAGCTGAGTTAAATGGAGGTTTTTACTCGTCTACATGATTAAATTGAAGCTGAGTCTGCACATGTGCTCTGTAACTAGAATCTGTGTGATGTTAAAGATAATTTATGAGCGTTATTTGGCCTTGAACTCTGCTTCACAAACGTCTCTTTATGGACAAACCCTCTCCAGTGTGCCGAGAGAACTCAAGAACAAAATGTCCAAAAGGCAAACAAACTTCTTCACTGTATCTCCACTCCTCCTCCTCCTCCTCCTCCAAAACTCCTCCTTTCAACCCTCTGACACTCAGCAAAGCGAAGAAAAAAAGCATTTTTTTCCCTGCTGCAGCCCCCCTCTCCCTCCACTCTCTGTGAGAGAGCGAGAGAGGTAGAGGAATTTCATTGAGAAAATGGAGGGCACTGGAAAGACTAGAGTCCCTGGTGGAGTGCTCCAGGGTTTCAGGTTGCACCAGCGGCTTCCTTTTTCTGCAGGCAGATGAACTCATAATGGAAAAATGAGCGTGGCCGCAGTAACCCGAACCTCTCACTGGCTGGGCTCGGGGAGGAGAGGGTGGGGGGGTATGGGGTGGGTGACTGGGGGGGAAGACGGGGTGGGGTGGTGAGCCCAGGCGCTCTGAAAACAAGCAGAGAAACCAGCTTCTCTGCCTGGATCTCTGAGTTTAAAACAAGGAGGAGAAATGAAATACAGTGTCCTCATTCACCTGCATTTGAACTGCCTCAGGAAGCTCGTCTCACGTCTTTAACTGATCCATGACTACGCACATGCCTGTGGTGCTCAAACTAACACAACACACACTTTTACTTCAGGACATAAAAAACCAGAGGGAGAGGGATCTCATTCTTCTCTATCTGTGTTTTTTAATACTCGTGTTCGTGCAGCCTGGAGAAAAACATACAGAAAGTACAAAAGGATGTTTTTTTTGTGGATAACAGCTGGGAGGAGGAGAGAGTAAAGTTTGGTGGAGTTTCCTCAGAGTGTCTCTGATATGAGATTGACCAACGAGACTCAAAAGGGCAGAGTTTATCGCTGTTTTGGAGACAAATAAACAATATGCAGCACGTCTCAGGAGATAATAGAGACAGAGTTCAACATTTGCCCCGGTTAACTTGTTACTTGAGGTCATAATGGGAGTTTGCGTCCTGTTGATAGCACCAGCACACATTTGATATTTCTGTTCAGCAAAAGCATCAGTGGTTTCTGAAGTTTTATGTGACTCAGCAGTTAAAAGAGTTTAAAAGAGGATGTCTTTAAAGCTCCAGTAACTTGGTGCTAAGTTACCACTGTTACTCCACATATGTTGATGTGCAGGACAGGAATCTGTCACAGCCATGGACGTATAAAACAGAACCTGTCTCATATCCATCATTAAAACCCATTAAAAAATTGAAAAAATAAAAAAATCCATAATTTTGTTTAAAATTTTTTATTGTAAAGTATAATGAAAAGGGCATAGTATAGTTTGTTAAAAAAAACTTGTTTTTGACGAAAAAATGGTATAGTATAGTATGATAAAAATGTCAAAGTATAGTATGTTATAAAATCTTAAACTTAAGGATTAAAAAAATATCAAAGTATACTATGATTAAATGTCATCGTAAAGTATGTAAAAAATGTATGATAAAAATGTCATGATATAATATGTTAAAAAGTAATATTTTAGTTTAAGAAATAGCATATTTGTATAAAAAATGTCAAAGGACAGTATGATAAAAATGTCATAGTATAATATATTTAAAATTTCATTCATATTTCAGTTTGAAAAAAAAGGAATATTTAAGTATATAAATATGGCATGGTATAGAGTAATAAAAAGGTCATAGTATAGTATGATAAAAAAGTGTCGTAGAATAGTATGAAAAAAAAGTTCATAGTATAGTTTGATAAAAAAAAGTGTCATAATATAGTATGATAAAAATGTCATAGTATAGTATGATAAAAATGTCACAGTACGGCATGTGAAAAATTTCTAGTTAGGTATGACAAAAAAGGTCATAGTTTAGTATGATAAAATTGTCATGGTTACGTATGATGAAAAAGTCATAGTATAGTATGATAAAAAAGGTCATAGTATGATAAAAATGTTATAGTACAGCATGTGAAAAATTTATATTTAAGTATTAAAGAAAGTGTCATAGTATAGTACGATGAAAAATGTCATAGTATAGTATGTTAAAAAATGTTATACTCAAGTATGAAAAAAAGTGTCTTAGTATAGTATGATAAAAATGTAATAGTATAATATGTTAAATGTCATACTTAAGTAATAAAAAAATTGCATATTTTAGTATGAAAAATATAATAGTAAAGTATGCTTGAATTGTTATAGTATAGTTTGTTGAAAATGCCACAGTATAGCATGTGAAAAATTTCTAGTTAAGTATTAAAAAAGGCAAAGTATAGAATGTTGAAAATGTAATAGAATAGTATGTTAAAAAATATACTTTAGGATAAAAAAGTAGTGTGATAAAAAGGTCATAGTATAGTATGTTAAAAATGTCATAGTATAGTATGATGAAAACGTCTTAGTATAGTGTGTGAAAATGTTTTATTTTAGGATGTATAAAGATATCAAAGTATAGTATGATAAAAATTTATACTTCAGTATGAAAAAAATGTCATAGTATAGTATGATAAAATAGGACATAGTATAGTATGTTGAAAATGTCAAAGTATAGCATGTGAAAAATTTCATACTTAGTTAAAGATAAATTGGCATAGTATAAAATGATAAAAATGAAAAACAATAGTTATTAAAGAATTATTTTAGGGTGAAAAAAATATCATAGTATAGTATGATAAAAATGTCATAGTATAGTATGATAAAAAAAAAGTGTCATAGTATATTATGAGAAAAAAATGTCATAGTATAGTATGATAAAAATGTCATAGTACAGCATGTGAAAATTTTATATTTTGGGATAAAACAAATGTCATAGTATAGAATGATAAAAATGTCATAGAATAGTATGATAAAAAATATCATAGTATAGTATGATAAAAATGTCATAGTATAGTATGTAAAAAAATGTTATACTTAAGTATAAAAAATTTTGCATATTTAGGTATGAAAAAATGTCATAGTATAGTATGACACAAATGTCTTAGTATAGTATGTTAAAAATGTCAAAGTATAGCATGTGAAAAAAATTGTATTTATGAATAAAAAAATGTCATAGTTTAGTATAATAAAAAGGGTCATAGTATAGCATGTGAAAAATGTTATATGTAAGTATGAAAAAAATGCATATTTAGGTATGAAAAAATGTTATAGCATAATATGATAAAAATGTCATAGTATAGTATGTGAAAAATAAATATTTTATGATGAAAAAAATGTCAGTAAATTATTTAAAAAAATGTCATAGTATAGTATGATAAAAATGTCATAGTATAGTATGATAAAAATGTATACCTTAGTTTGGAAAATGTCATAGTATAGTATGATAAAATAGGACATAGTATAGTATGTTGAAAATGTCCTAGTATAGTATCATACAGTGTCATAGTATAGTATGATAAAAATGTCATAGTACAGCATGTAAACAAATTCTATTTTAGTATGAACAAAATTTCAGTTTAGTATGATAAAAATGTCATAGTATAGTGTGATAAAAATGTCATAGTATAGTATGATAAAAATTTATAACTTAGTATGGAAATATGTCATAGTATAGTATGATAAAATAGGACATAGTATAGTATGTTGAAAATGTCATACTAAAGCATTTGAAAAATTTCATACTTAGTTATAGAAAAAATTTCATAGTAAAGCATGTGAAAAAAGTCATAGGATAGTATTAAAAAAATGTCATAGAACAGCATGTGAAAATTTTCTAGTTAAGTATGACACAAATGTCATAGTATAATATGATAAAAATGTCATAGTATAGCATGTGAAAAATAAATATTTTATGATGAAAAAAATGTCATAGTATAGTATGTGAAAAATTTATATTTTATGATGAAAATAATGTCATACTATAGTATGATAAAAAATGTTATAGTATGGTTTGATAAAAAAGGTCATAGTATAGTATGACACAAATGTCATACTATAGTATGACACAAATGTCATAGTATAGAATGTGGATAAAAAAGTATTTTTGAATAAAAAAAATGTCATAGTTTAGTATAATAAAGAGGGTCATAGTATAGCATGTGAAAAATGTATGAAAAAATGTCATAGTATAATATGATAAAAATGTCATAGTATAGTATGATAAAAATGTTATAGTATGGTTTGATTAAAAAGGTCATAGTAAAGTATGATAAAAAAATGTCATAGTATAGTATGATAAAAAAAAATTATATTTTAGTATGAAAAAAAATTTTCATAATTTAGTTGTCACAACCTAGTTCTTAGGCTGTAACAAAAATGGGAGGCGAGACAAGTTAAACAGTTATTTATTACAAAAACACAGAGAAAATACAACAATCAAAAACAGTTTTCTTAACAATTAAACCATCGGCTGCTCCACGCTGGACGCTCAGCAATGTGTGCCATAAGAGATAGGAAGAGCCACTGAATCCAGGAGGAGTATTATAAGCTGAGGACTAGTCTGGGCCAAGGCGTAGCACATCTTCTGATTAGGATGGCCCCGTTTGTACCTGACCCTGCAACAAAGTACTAAAAAAAACCCCAAACCAGCAAACCAGCCAAACAGTAGCACCTATTGTAATGTATAATATTATAGGTCATAGTATAGTATGATAGAAATTTTCAAATTTGAGGATAAAAAAAAATGTCAAAGTATAGTATGATAAAAAAAATATCATAGTATAGTATGAAAAAAAAATGTCATAGTATAGTATGATAAAATAGGACATAGTATAGTATGTTGAAAATGTCATAGTATAGTATGATAAAAATGTCATAGTACAGCATGTAAAAAAATTCTATTTTAGTATGAACAAAATTTCAGTTTTTATAAATCTCTAGTTAAGTATGAAAAAAATGTCATAGTTTAGTTTCATAAAAATGTCAGTATTGTATGATTAAAATGTCATAGTATAGCATGTGAAAAATTTATATTTTAGAATGAAACAAATGTCATAGTATAGAATGATAAAAATGTCAAAGTATAGTATGATAAAAAAAATATCATAGTATAGTATGATAAAAATGTCATGGTACAGTATGTTAAAAATGTTATACTTAAGTATAACATTTTTTGCAAATTTAGGTATGAAAAAATGTCATAGTATAGTATGACACAAATAGTATGTTAAAAATGTCAAAGTTTGAAATGTGAAAAAAAATTGTATTTATGAATAAAAAAATGTCATAGTATAGTATGTTAAGAATGTCAAAGTATAGCATGTGAAAAAAATTGTATTTGTGAATAAAAAAAAGTCATAGTTTAGTATAATTAAAAAGGGTCATAGTATAGCATGTGAAAAATGTTCTATGTAAGTGTGAAAAAAAAAGCATATTTTAGTATGAAAAAATGTCATAGTATAATATGATAAAAATGTCATAGTATAGCATGTGAAAAATAAATATTTAATGATGAAAACAGTGTCATAGTATAGTATGTGAAAAATTTATATTTTATGATGAGAAAAGGCATACTATAGTATGAAAAAAATGTCATAGTATAGTATTAAAAAAAATGTCATAGTATAGTATGATAAAAATGTCATAGTATAGTATGATAAAAATGTATACCTTAGTTTGGAAAAAATGTCATAGTATAGTATGTTGAAAATGTCATAGTATAGTATGATAAAAATGTCATAGTACAGCATGTAAACAAATTCTATTTTAGTATGAACAAAATTTCAGTTTAGTATGATAAAAATGTCATAGTATAGTGTGATAAAAAATGTCATAGTATAGTATGATAAAAATGTATACCTTAGTATGGAAATATGTCATAGTATAGTATGATAAAATAGGACATAGTATAGTATGTTGAAAATGTCATAATAAAGCATTTGAAAATTTCATACTTAGTTATAGAAAAAAATGTCATAGTATAGCATGTGGAAAATTTCTAGTTAAGTATGACACAAATGTCATAGTATAATATGATAAAAATGTCATAGTATAGCATGTGAAAAATAAATATTTTATGATGAAAAAAATGTCATAGTATAGTATGATAAAAATGTTATAGTATGGTTTGATAAAAAAAGGTCATAGTATAGTATGATAAAAATTTATATTTTATGATGAAAAAAATGTCATACTATAGTATGAAAAAAAATGTTATAGTATGGTTTGATAAAAAATGTCATAGTATAGTATGATAAAAATGTCATAGTATAGTATGTTAAAAATGTCATACTTAAGTATAAAAAAATGTGCATATTTAGGTATGAAAAAATGTCATAGTATAGTATGACACAAATGTCATAGTATAGTATGTTAAAAATGTCATAGTATAGCATGTGAAAAAAATTGTATTTATGAATAAAAAAAATGTCATAGTTTAGTATAATAAAAAGGGTCATAGTATAGCGTGTGAAAAATTTATATTTTATGATGAAAAAAATGTCATACTATAGTATGATAAAAATGTTATAGTATGGTTTGATAAAAAAGGTCATAGTATAGTGTGATAAAAAAAAATGTTATAGTATAGTATGATAAAAAAATTTATATTTTAGTATGAAAAAAAAATTGCATAATTTAGTTGTCACAACCTAGTTCTTAGGCTGTAACAAAAATGGGAGGCGAGACAAGTTAAACAGTTATTTATTACAAAAACACAGAGAAAATACAACAATCAAAAACAGTTTTCTTAACAATTAAACCATCGGCTGCTCCACGCTGGACGCTCAGCAATGTGTGCCATAAGAGATAGGAAGAGCCACTGAATCCAGGAGGAGTATTATAAGCTGAGGACTACCAGCCAAACAGTAGCACCTATTGATAGTGAGCAGTCGTCACATAGTGTGAAAGAGAAGAATCATAGTATAGTACGTGACAAATGTTACATTTTATGGTGAAAAAAATGTAATATTATAGTATAATAGTATAGGTCATAGTATAGTATGATAAAAAATTTCAGAATTGATATTTTTTATTTTAGTATGTAAAAAACTAAATGTTTTCTTATGATAAAAAAAATTTAGTAGTATCGTATGATAAAAATGCCAAAGTATAGTATGTTATAAAATCTTGAAGGATAAAGAGAAATGTCATAGTATAGTATGATGAAAATTTCAGATCTGAGGATAAAGAAAAATGTCATAGTATAGTATGATAAAAATGTCATAGTATAGCATGTGAAAAATTTTGATCATTTTAGTATTGAAAAAATGTCATAGTATAGCATGTAAAAAAAATATTTTATTAGACTAAAAAAAAGTCATAGTATAGTATGATAAAAATGTTATACTATAAAATGTAGTATAATTCTAATTCTTATCTAACTATGAAAAAAAATGGCATATTTTAGTATGAAAAAATGTCATAGTATAGCATGTGAAAAATTTATATTTTAGAATGATAAAAATGTCATAGTATAGTATGACAAAAATGTCATAGTAACGTATGATAAAAATAAAGCATAGTTTAAAAATGAGGGGATTTGTGAAAACTAGACTTGAGTTGAAATCTGCAAGATGTTCCACGTCCCTGTTTTGAGTGCAGGAAATAACAAACAGAAAATCCAAAACCTCAAAAATGTACAACTGTTTCCACAAAAGTCTTGTGGGGCCCTTATACTCTGTTGTAATTCTCAGGGACAAAAGTCAAAAACTTTTTCAATGCATTTCAGTTTCAGAGTACTACAGTTGGCGGTATGAAACTGTTAAAAACACACAATATACAGTAACATGGGGCATCGTAGTGGAAAACAACAAACAACCAATTAAATCAATCTTGACCATTTAAAAGTCAGGAAAAAAATCCTTTTGAAAACTTTTTATGAACGGATGATCTTTGTTCAAATTTAATTGAATAAATCATATTTAATTGCCTAATTCTGTTTCTTTCAGGGAGCTAATTGGATAATTTGTGCTCAGTGAGTTTATGAATGGATACAAACTGAACATAGACATGAATGAGTTTTATAGCTCTCAGTGGTTTCTGTTTATTTGCTGTTTGTTTATTTATGGTTGTATAACCTCAAAAAAACGTCTAAGGCGTTGGCATGTAATGGGAAGAGTGTAATGGAGCGTACAAAGAGGTGTACCGAAGTAAATGGCGTGTAAAGACAACAACACCTGTGTTTTCTACTGTCGGCAAAGTAAACAAAGAGAGCCAAATATCACAGGTCTGCAGTCTCATTCAGACGGCCTGAGAATAAGGCTCCTACTTTCACATACAAAGAGGCATTCCTCGCTTAATCACCGCCATTGTATCACATGAAAGACACAAAATGGTCATGCCTCTCGGTGCACAGTTAACCCCGGCTGCTCTCACACCTAATCTGCCCATCACTCCCTGGTGGGAGCGCTGCCATCGCAGGCGGACGTATTATTTACAGTATGATCGAGTGCTGCCGTGCCAGAATGGAGGGCTTGATTTTTCCCCAATGGCATCTTATCGCAGTCGCTGAGCTGCAGCTGCATTCCCCACGAGTGAGTCACAAACCGGAGCCAGAGGCCGAGAGCTGCACCTTTACAGTTTTTATGCTCTCGCTCGTCTTGTTCACTTCGCTCACAGACGAAATCAAAGCAGACAAACACACATCGACAATAGTCTGACACGCCTGTTTTCACACTAAAGAAAGAGACACAAAAACACACACACAAAGGTGAGCGCAGCGGTCACAGGATGGGCGACGCCCCTTCAGATTACAGAAGTCATTAAAACATAACTGTGCTTCAGAAGTGTCCCAACACGCAGAGGAGAGAGCCCGAGGCTAAACGAGGAGGTTATACAATCTATTTCTGTGGATGCACCGATTCCAGACAGGCGGTGATGAGCTCAGATAAGGTGCAGACACTGAATACTGGACCACTTTTCTGGTCTGCTGGAGGTGCTGCAGTCTCATGGCCTAAAAATACCCCCAGAGACAAGAGACGCGATATGATAAATGTACAGTTTGTCCTTGCGACGCGGAGGACGATCACACAATATGTCCGTATAAAACGCCGCATCCAAACGCCACGCTGAGTGAGCAGTATTTAGGAGGTTTTATTCACTCTGGCTGCAGAAAAGAGTAAAAAATAGGACGCGAAGTGTGCGAATTCCTGTTAATCAGAAGAAAATCTGCTTTTTCTTTATCTTTGAACCATTATCACCTGAACTACGAACCAAACACTCACATGATTCCACTCTAAGTTTGTTTTTGTTAATTTAAATACCTCATTTGGAATCACCGAACCAGAACAGACATTTCTGCTGCACTGACACTGAAACAAAAGTTTTTATTTATCATGTTAGACGATGTTTGAGAGAACTGGTGGAAAAATAAGTTATTCTGTCTTCAGTTTTAAGCTCATTTTGACCCAAAGCTGCTTGTGTGTCTGTTGCAGATGTGCCTGGATGCCCCTCTATGTACCACCACAGTGAGGGCTACCCCAACCCCCAGCACAGCAGTGAAGGTAACATGAACTCCAAACGTCTCCTCTCCTCTGACACTTTATCGAGAAAGTCCATTTTACTGGTTGAAGCTCTGTGGTCACTGGCCGTCGCCTCACCCCTGAATAAAAAGAGGAAAAAAAAGGATCAACAAAAGTTCTTCCCTCTGCTCTCGTTGTTTGTTCAGTGACACTTTCAGCATAAAGGCGGATTAAGAGGAATCTGAAAGGACGAACAGTGTTATCATAAATTCACTCACAGGGTTGATGTTATTGAATGTGATTATTTTAAAGTTCAGAGTTTTGTTTTTAAATATGTGACCTAATTCTGCTCTCCGTTTGTCTCTCAGGTTATCTGTTTGAAAATGACTCCCGCGTCGTCCCCGAGAAGTTCGAAGGTGAGCCCCTTCCTCCACACACGTTTTCATGTCCCCTCTCGTGAACTCAGGAGGGTGTTTTCGGCTGACGTGCAGGTAAAGCAGGGAAACTTAAGCCACCTTGCACACGCTGTTCGTTCTAGCTGACCTGTCTCCTCGCACTGACGTCAGGCCTGCTTGTGTAACAGCTACGCACTCTCGGGCTTAGTTAGTGGGTTTAGTTTCTGCGCACACACGATGCGGGGCTCCTCTGTCAGGGCGAGAGTCGTTTCCCATGGTGTCAGCGGCGCCGGTGATTGACGTTAAAGGAGATTGAGTGGAGAGCCCGAGGGTGTCAGCGCAGGTTCAACCAGTGAAGTGTGCAAGCTCTCTGAGAGACAACAGCGGTAACCTAGCTGGGCGTCTCGTATTCCCACACTTGTGTACAACATATCCGGTGACCAGTAAACAAACAGGAACACAAATCCTTTTACCTACATGTGGCTTTAACCCAGTGTAACTAATCAGCTGTTGTTTTGAGTCTTACCACGGCAGCAAACGGCAGCCAAGTAACTTTTTATTTCCTTCAAAGTTCCAGAAAAAGTTTCTATTTCTGTCTCGACAAACACACGGCTGCAATTTAGGAGTTTGACTTGATAAGCTGTTGTTAATAAGAAGTTTACGTCAGTACGCAAACATGAAACATCAAGATAAGATGACCTGCTAGATTTCAAATACATCCCAGCTGTTATTAGTCGACTTTCCCTCAGCTTCACGTCTGATAAAAGACTCAAGTTTATGTTTATGGTGTAATTTAACGGCTTGATGCAGGTTATTGTTTCATAAAAGTATCAAACAGGGAAACTTTGACTTGTAAAAAGAGAGAAACCTTTCAGGAGCTGCAGAGAAACACTCTGACGTCTCTTCTCCTCACGTTTCAGGGGAGGTGAAGCAGGAGGGTGGCAGCGTTTTTCGTGAGGGCACGCCGTACCAGCGCCGAGGCTCCCTGCAGCTCTGGCAGTTTCTGGTGGCCCTGCTGGACGACCCCGGCAACGCCCACTTCATCGCCTGGACAGGCCGCGGCATGGAGTTCAAACTCATCGAACCTGAAGAGGTGGGCTCAAAGAACTGCAGTTCCCCAAATGTCCACTGGAGGCAGGTTGCAGGAGCTGAGGAGGCCACATACACACTAATTAAAAAATGCCAAACTTTATAACAAAAAAGAAACAATTCACATCTCCAATTTTGCAAAACTACGTCCATGTTTCCTCCAGTCTGGGGTTGTGCTCTCTCTCCTGCATACAAAGAGTGACAGCAGCATCAATCTCCGGCCTCGATCTGGGGAAATGTGGAGCAAACCGTAAACTTCGCTGATATTGTGACAGCATCCGGCCAGACTGAAGCACACTGATCGCTGCAGGCTCTTAGATCTGCTGCAAAACTCGAGCAGACGACCAGCTGCACAGAGCTTCCCTCGCCATGTCACAATCTGTGGACTCAGAGACATAAGTTAAGACGCATCAGCTCGATTTTGAGTCTGTTTCACGACAGGAAAAGTGTTGATAGAGATCCTGATATTAATATGAACCTAAAGCAAACAGGACAGGAGTCATTACAGGTTTAAAGGTGCGACTAGATGACAGCGATCAGGAGATTTGGCCTCTTTCCTCTTCCATTAGTCCTCCATTCATTATTCAGCAGATGAAACTCCGGTTTGATAAATGAAGGACGAGTGCGCTATCACACAATCATCCAACACCCTTTCTTCTCACTCAGCCACTCACATTTCTTCAGACGAGACATTTTTGTGATGTTTAAGTCTGAAATCTGACTGTCAGACGGCGTCCATTTAGGCGCGTCCTGATTGGGCGCAGGTCTATACTGTGTTTTCCATTATCTTTTTACTGGACATTAAAAATGGATGGGCTAAGAGTTTTACAAGAGCAATTAGGGCTGAGAGCACACTCAGAGATCAAACAGGGCTGCTGGCTTGATGGCCACTGTGGGATACAACCTGTCTCTTCCTGAGTCATGAATCTCAGCGCCTCCCCCTCCTCCCCCCCAGTCCTCCCAGTTTCTCCCCCTTAACTCTGATATTTGTCAACACAAACATCCCTCTCTGCTGCGGGATGAGTCGATTTACTCCACGCCGCCTGTGTGAGGTTTTGAGACGCTCATTTTCTGATCAGAGTTAAAAGTCCACCATCAGCTGAGCGCTGGTTTTTGGGTCGGGGGAGTATTAACGGCCCGCCTCTGACTCCTTTTTCACTGCGAACACTGTGGGACTCTGGTTGTATTCAAGTGGTAATGGGTTACATAAAAAGGAAGTGAATCCACATGTGGGGACTCGCCCTGGTCTCTGCGTGTTTACTCTGTTGTGTTAAAGAGCAGAACGAGCTTTGAGCTCTCCACCGAGGACCCCTAGTGGCCTCAGTGTGGAAACACAAACAACTGCATCTAATTAGGATTTCAGGAATCTGGACTTTTGGGGAAAAAAACGCTGACACAAACAATTCTCGGCTGTTGACGTGTCATCTGCGGAGAGCTTTATCCTTCAGCTCTGCAAAATCCAATAATAAAAAACAAAGAAGTTTAAAATGAGACTCACGAAAGCTGCCAGAAATGCAACCAAAGACATTTCCCTCTCCGTCTGCCCATCAGGTCGCCAGGCTGTGGGGGATGCAGAAGAACCGTCCGGCCATGAACTACGACAAACTCAGCCGCTCTCTGCGCTATTACTACGAGAAGGGAATCATGCAGAAGGTACAGAAACTCCACTTCTATCTGTTTACATGAAGAAACACTAGAGAACTCAATGATGGCAACAGTGAGGAAGGGTCCTAGAGCGCTGTTAGGTCAGCAAGATACAACTATATTTTATTCCATTATCTGTCCTTTTGGGTAGAGAACACTGTTAAACTCAGGGACAACAACTTTTTTGCTAGGCAACAGTGGAAGAGGGTCCTGGAGTGTTGTAGCAGCCGATTTTATAATTTGTAGTTTTGGATAGAGAGACTCAATCTCAGTTAACTAAGTGAAAACAACTTGGCAACAGTGGAAGGGGGTCCCACAGGGCCATATTTTAGTATTTATCAAGTTGACAAATGAAACACTAGTTTTCTCAGTGATGACAAATTTCTCACAGTGCTGTGAGGTCCAAAATATGCTGCCAAATTTCATAATTTGTCTTTTTTTTTTAAAGAGAAACATGGATACCTTGATAAAAAAATAACAACTTTGTTCTTGGCAACAGTGAAGGAGAGTCCTAAACTTTCAGAGGCTGAAATGATTGAGAATAAAGTTTTTTTTTAGCTCCTGATTGAAGTTTTTTTACATTCATAGTCTAGAACATGAAAATAAGTGAAATGCCCCTTTAAGACTTTTTCTCTTAGTTATATTTGATGATATTTTAAGCGTTGTTATTCTGTCGTCCTGCAGGTGGCGGGGGAGCGCTATGTTTACAAGTTCGTGTGCGAGCCCGAGGCCCTCATCTCTCTGGCCTTCCCCGACAATCAGCGGCCCAGCCTGAAGGCCGAGTTCGAGCGCTACGTCAACGAAGAGGACACGGTGCCCCTGTCCCACCTGGACGAGGGCGTCCCTTACACCACAGAACAAGCCCCCCAAAACATGGGCCCCCAGCCCTACTCCAAAGGCTACATGTACTAAAGCCAGCCCCTCCTCCCTCTCCCCTCTTTTCTCCCCCCACCTTCAGATAACTTCCTGTTGTACCGACCCGTCATCATACACACCCCGAGACCCCCCACGCACCTCTTGCACATGCCCACCCCATCCACTTGTATATAAGGCTACGGTGTTTTTGTTTTAAATTAATCTCATTAGGGATTTTTGTTTTGTTTTGAAGAGCTGCGTTCCTCTCACATCTGAGGCCTATTCGATCCAGAAACATGATTGTGGTTGAAGAGATTGCTTAATAAATACCCATAATAATACGCAAAACAAAACCGAGTCTGCTTTATTTTATTTCTTTGTTTTTCTTCAGAGTCACGTCAGTCTTTTTAACTCTTTTAACATTCAGTCTGGTATGAAAGAGGACAGCAGGGTTAGGGCGAGCGCCTTTACTGGGATTGTTTATGCACTTCCTGTAAAATCTGGAGTCAAAGCTGCACTTTTAAAACTTAAACCATCATAATAATAATAATACATTTTATTTATAAGTGCCTTTCTGGACATCCAAGGACACTTGGTAACGCTTTCTTTTACGGTACACTTATTACCAGGTAATTAACAGGTAATTACCTAGTAACAACATGAAATTATCTGATAATTACATGATAACTACTAAGTCAATACTGTCTAGTTTTTCTTTTTTCTGTGCAGCTCCATTTTCAAAAGCTATTTGGGGTTCTTATTTTCTATGATTGACACTTGATACAGCCTATGGGCGTGCGAAGATTGCGTAGCGATACGCTGTTTGAGCCGAGCATGTGCATTTGAGTTTGACACCCCTGATCTAAGGAGAGATCTGTGTCAGTAAATGCAGAGAAAGTGAAGTCAGTGTTTATCTGTGATCATCAGTAACAAAAGTCAAGTTTGCAGTTAAAAAATTCAACTAAAATTAGGCATTTGTGAAATATTTTATAGAAAATACAGTACAGGTAAATCACTTCAGGCAAACTGAGTTAAACTGAAGAGAAGAAAGTTTGAGCAGGTAAAAAAAATCATCCGATCAGATCAATAACTGTCCGATCTTTAAATAAATGAACACGAGAACCTCAAAGTGTTGACTCGTGGCTCAGTCTGTGTGTGCGTACTTCCGTTAGTCCACCTGCTCTTAATTTAAGCGGATCCTCAGCGGCGTCTGAAGGCCCGAGAGATCCTCCAGGCGTTCGGCTCCTCGTACCGATTGTAGAGAGGTTCTAGTTTCTGCTGCCGCTTCTGCCGGCTGAGCCGAGTCGGGTCCCCGACTCTGTAGAAAGCCGGAGCGAACTCCACCAGCCAGCGAGGGTCGATGGTGGTCACCTCACGCATGTACTCTTTGGTGGTCAGCACTAACTCGTGGTACACGAGCCTGGAGGGGGAGCGGGAGAATACAGTGTGTAAGATTTAAGAGTAAAACACAATTAAGAGACCCTTTCATACTTTAATAGAAAATTTATAAAAGGAAACATTCATCGACTAAAGCAATAAATAAACCAAACCAGATCCACTTCATGGAAACACACCAGAACCTTCATGCTTATCATCTGGTACCTGACCTCACACCTGTGACCTGATGGTGTCTGAGGACAAACAGCCAATCCTCAAAGTGTTGAAAACAAACTCTGGATCATCAATGAGGTTTGAGGGTTTATTTGATTTTTAAACTAGTCTGTGAATTTAGTAAAATCTGCTCATTCTGCTCAAAACTACACAAACTAAAGTTCTTCTTCTTCTGGTCCTTCTTGAAGTTAAATTAAGAGGATGATATTTTTTAACTATCGAGATTCGTCTTCCCTCTCACCTTTTTGTTGAAAAATCATTAAACTGCATTTTTGTAACTCCTCGAGTGTTCATTTAAAGAAATATAATCGTGCCAATCGAGCATTTTTCCTCAGACCTGACAACCCGCCTCCATCCCAGCTCCTCCCTCCACATCTGTAAGTGGAGGAGACTCTGAGAACAGAGTCATACCACCGCAGATACTGATTCTCTTCCACTCAAGAGGTGCAGACTGAACTCATGGAAGAAGGATATGGATTAACATCTTGTCCTCAGTGTCAGATCTAACCGCTCTTCAGACTTCAGGACTCACCATTCAGGCTGCCGGTTGAACAGGGTGCTGGAGGGGTGGAGGTACACCACCTGCTGGTCGATCAGGGTACGGTAACCGTCATGGGGGTGCTTCCTGGCAGCGTTCCTGAAAAAGCCGCTGCAGATCGCCTTCTGGACTCGCATCGTCGCTTTCCCACAGGAAACCACGTCCAGCTTGTGTCTGAGGAATATTTGTGAAGATTAATATTTTAGTGTTGCTCCTCAGATTATCTGTCTCTCACCGAACTGTAGATTATTTTCTGAAAACATCACAAATTGAAGTCACTCTTTCTAAAATAATCAACACTAAAAGACGAGAGTAAAATGTGAGAGAGAGTCAGAGTTACTCCTCCGCACCTGTCCATGATGCTCAGCATCTGCTTGCGGATGTCCTGAGCCCTCTTCAAGGATCTCGCTTGGATGAAGTTCTCGAAACACCAGGGGTTGGAGAACTTGTTGTTCTTCCAGGAGTTGTAGACAGCCAGCAGTGTGAGGTGGTCTCCCTCCAGCTGGAAGAACTTGGTCTTTTTCTGGTCAGCGAGGGCCTGTTTGTCCTGGAAGGAAAGAAACGAAGGATTGGTTTGGGTTAGGGATGATGAGACTGTGATAGTACAGCATGATAAAAAAGAGTCAAAGTAAAGTGGAAAAAAAATTAAAATAGTATAGTATCATAATTAAAATATTAAAAAGTAGTATGTTCAAAAAATGTCACAGTATAGTATGATAAAAAAAATGTCATAGTACAGTATGTTTAAAAAAAGTCATAGTATAGTATGTTAAAAATGTCAGAGTGTTGTATGATAAAAATGTCACAGCATAGCATGTTAAAAAATGTCAGTATAGCATGATAAAAAAGACATCGTAAAGCAGACAAAAAATTATGATAAAATAGTATGATAAAAAATATATTATAGTATAGTATTATAAAAAAGTCATAGTATAGTATGTGTTAATATGTCATAGTGTTGTATGATAAAACAATGCCATGGTAAAATTATAAAAAAATGTCACAGTAAAGCATGTCAAAAAATAGTCAGTAAAGTAGAAAAAACCTTAGTAGTATAGTATAGTATGATAAAAAATGTCATGATATAGTCAGTTTGAAAAATAACACTTTAGTATAAAAAAATGTCATACTATTGTATGATAAAAAAGAAATGGTAAAATGGTCAAAAATGTCACAGTATAGCATGTTCGAAAAATAACAGTTTAGTATAATAAAAAATATCAGTATAGTATGATAAAAAAAGTCATCGTAAAGTAGACAAAAAATTATGATAAAAAGTATGATAAAAAATATATCATAGTTAAAATGTTATAGTACAGTATGTGTAAATATGTCATAGTAAAGTAGAAAAAAAATATATAATAGAATAGTATGATAAAAAATGCCATAGTACAGTATGTTCAAAAAATGTCATAGTATAGTATGATAAAAAACGTAAAAGTATAATATGATAAAAAAATGTCATAGTATAGTATAATAAAAAATTTGGAGGTTGTTTCTTGTTTTCAGGATGATGTCTTAAAAATGTTCGAAGGCTCTTTGTCTCTTTCACTCACTCCGAGTCTATTTGAAAGAAGAAATCCAAAGACAGGGAAGAACGGTAAGTCATGTTTTCATCATGAAACACAAAATACGGCGTCAGTCTCACCTTCGGTCTGTAGAAGATGTTCTGCACAGACAGCATGGACACGATGGTGAGCATCTCCTCGCTGCAGCCCAGATGGACGGACATGATCAACATCTTACACAGCATGGGCTCCAGAGGAAACTCAGCCATCTAAAGTGAGAATCAGATCAATGATTAGAAAAGGTAAAAACTCAAATGTGATAAACGTCTTTAAAGGTTTTAAAGCAGGACTCGGTCTGAGCAGAGATTTCCTGTTTTTTCCTCTCACCCGTCTCCCCAGCCGTGTGAGTAAACCTTCATTATCCAGAGCTCCCAGAGTGTAGAGCTGCTCCATGGCCGTGATCAGAGTCTCCATGGGAGGAGCGTCCATGAAGTCAAACGCCAGGAGGTCATTGATGCCCATGGCCTGGAGATGGAAAAAAGATTACTAACAGTAACTTTAAGAAACACGCAGCCTCGACGGCATCAACCCTGCATAACACCCAGCCCTACACAGAGGTGTTAGAAAACGTCACATCCTCACCTTCAGAGACAGGACCGTACTGGCCAAGTTGGTCCTCTGGATCTCTGGTACGTTCGACACGAGCATCTCGTCTCTGTAGGCTCTCTCTGTGTAAAGTCTGTAACACTTTCCTGGACCGGTTCTCCCGGCTCGACCGGACCTCTGCTTGGCCTGAGCCTGGAAATGAATCAGGGATTTAAAGATTGTTGGATTTAAAGATTAAAGGATGTAAAGATGAGTCTGTTAATCAATGTGAGATGTTTTTTTTTCCCTTAAGTCCAAAATTTTACTTTGAGACTTTCACTTAAAAGTGATTACCTGTGAGATGGGAGTCACCACCAGCTGGTCTATGCCTGTTTTGGAGTTATACACAATCTGCTTAACAAAGCCGGGGTCCACCACATAGTAGATACCATCGATAGTCAGGGACGTCTCAGCGATGTTGGTGGCGATGATGACCTGGTGGAGAACACAAACTTAACGTGGGTTCATGAGGATCAGTTATGGATTCTTCTTGAAGGTTTGCTCTGTCCGGTGGTGTTCAAGAGTTCATCTCAAAGTAAAACTCTTCTGAACCTCTCACCTTTCTGCTGCCTGGAGGTGCAGGGTCAAAGATCCTGGTCTGCATCTCACTGGGCAGAGCAGAATAAACAGGCAGAATAATCAGCTCAGGAACATCGGGCCCCAGAGACTTCATCCTCTCATACAGGATCTCACACGCCGTATCGATCTCCTCCTGACCTGTCAGAAACACCAGGATGTCGCCTGAACCAAGGACAGGGAGAATTTTAATCTTCTTCATGACTGTTTATTCTTTCACATTAAAGCTCTTTAAGTCCCTTCAGTACCTGGAGGTTCAGTCAGATGAATCTGCATGGCGGTGATGAGACTCGCATCCAGGTAGTCTGTCTCGGGCTCTTTGGTGTAAAGAATCTCAACTGGGAAAGTTCTTCCTGGGATGGTGAAGATGGGAGCTTCGAAAAAATACTGGGAGAACTTGACGGCGTCCAGAGTCGCCGAGGACACGATCAGCTTCATGTCTTTGCGTTTCAGTATCGTCTAAAAGAAAGAGAGGACGTCAGTTTTTACTTTGAGATGATAAATTAGGTTTTAAATCGTATTTTTTAAGGTTTTTAGAAGTCAAAATTACCTTTTTGAGAAGACCAAAGAGCACATCCGTGTGGATTGTCCTCTCGTGAGCTTCATCCAGCATGATGAGGGAGTACTGGCTCATGTCCGGGTCGATCAGACACTCTCTCTGCAGCATACCGTGGGTCATGTACTTGATTACAGTTTCTGTGCAGGTGCAGTCCTCGAAACGGATCGTGTAGCCCACCTGAAACGAAGGTTGAAGCACATGGAGTTGAAGGTTATCCCACAGAAATCTCTGCTCATGTAAAACATACGAATATGCTCGGCTGATGGTTCGACAGCTCACCTCTTGACCTAAGCGGCAGCCGTACTCCTCTGAGACTCTCTTGGCTACAGACATGGCGGCCACACGACGAGGCTGCGTGCAGCCGATCTTCCCCCGGGCCGTGTAACCAGCCTCTGCCAGGTACTGAGTGATCTGCGTGGTCTTACCAGAGCCGGTTTCTCCAACTACAATCAGGATCTGGTTATCGTGGACAGCCTGTGAAGCGAAGTAAGAAAGAAAATATGATTAAAGTTTTTAAAAAAGAAGAAAAGCTCGGTTTGAAGGTTGAAAAGAGGATCTGTGATTGGGCGGCACGATAAAACTTTGTCACGTGTTGGAGTCTCCATATTCGTATCGAGTCTACCTGAACGAGCTGCTCCTTCAGCTTGAAAATCGGCAGACTCTCTCTCTGCTGCAGGATGGAGAGTTCGGTCTTCTTGCCGTACGACACCTGGTTCCCTCCAAAAGCGTATCGTTTCCACTCTGGGAGATCCAGCGGCATGGCACCGATGCCTCTCATGTTGGCAGCTATCTGCCTTCCTTCATCTGCACAGGAGAGGAACAAGGAGTCTCAGAGTCGGAGCCACGATAACCTCCTCTGATCTACGATTTCATTTGAGCAGGATGGACTGTGCTGATAATGAATTTTCCAACGAGCTCTTCCCGTATGAACCCGAGTCAGAGGTAGGAACTGTGGTGGAAGGAACTGCTTCAGCCTCCGTTTTCCCTCCAGGCCGTGGAAGACTGAGTCACAGTGCATTATGATATTATGTGTGTGTGTGTGTGTGTGTGTGTGTGCGCGAGTGTAAACTCATAGGGAAGCTAGATAACCATCTCCAGTCGTGCTCTAGGAACAATGAAACAGTGTAATAGGCCTGGCACAAGACAGATGCTGCGCTGCTGTTTACTCTGAAACTGTTTCTGATGGAGAGACGTTTGAAAGTTCCTCTTCTTCCTAAGAGTTACAGGAACCGGTCTCACTGTCTAGACCGCATATAGACCATTAAAAAACGGGTCTCTTACAATCAGGCATCGGGTCGATCCAGTTCTTGTTGAGACCGGTTGGGATGCAGTCCATCTCCGCTGCACGAGCCGCCTGCTTCAGCTCCCTCCTCTCCTTCGACAGAGCGCTCTGCATCATGGCGGCCTGAGAGAGCGAGCCATCTGGGTTCTACCAGAGACGAGAAAAACAAGGATTAGTGTGAGGGACTGGACTGAGTCTCATCTGGTCTCAGGACTTTGGACCCCTTAGCGACAGCCCAGGTCTTTTTCTCCTGTTTTCAGATAGAAGTCAGTTTAGGGTCTCATTTGGAAATCTAGGTCCCAGTCTACCAGGAGGTTTTAGAGAGGTTCCCTTTTCCAGCAGGACCTGGACTCTGCCCACGGCGCCAAAACTACCAGAAACTGTTTTCCTGACTGTGATGTTTCTGTGTTTACTGAGCAGACTTCATCTGACTTCAGACTTCATCTCAAAAAGTGAAAAAAAACAGGATCTGGTCTTCACTAACACCTCAGCAGAGCTTCAGGCTCATCACCTCTACGCCACATCTCACTGATGCAAATTTAGAGTAAGAAAAAAAGCACCAAATAAGGACTGAGGGTGTGAATGAACTTGAGTTTTTCAGACATTTCTGCGTTTTGAATCCTTTAATATTTTCAGAGGCTGTATTTCAGATTTTCATGAGCTGTTGGATCAAATTGTAACATTTTAAAGATAAAAATATTGCACCTTCTCATGGCACAAATGTTTATTCACAATATTCAAGTTTTCCTTTTCAATTTAAAACATGATATTTAAATTATCCCAGTGCACCTGCACAACCCTCAATAACATATTTACAAGAATCTCAGATTCAAAGAGCCGACAAAGAGATACAGATAAAATAATCAAACTGAAGCATTTTAAAACTAATCCAGGTCGATTTTAAACTTACAGGGATACTCTGGCGTAAAATTAATTTAGGTTGCAGACCGCTTGCTTCTCTAGTCATACCAACTTTAGTAACGACCGCACAATAGCGATACACAGCAGTCTGAGGAGCCATAAACAAACCTCAACCAAAACGCCACTCTATAACCACAAATAATGCTATCATCAATGTTCTTCCTTGAGCTGCGTCACCCCGCTGTAGTCCCTAATGGACTGGCCTGAGGTCTCGCTACAAACAAGCGTCTGCTGGAAGAGAGTAGGTGAGTTGTGTTTAGTCTCTTTGCTAAAGAAATGAGTCAAAGTTAAAAAGATGTTTGGTGTCTAGTACTATGTCTGTGACCCTATATGTCCTGTTGATGAAGTTAGGTGCTGTTCTGAGCTTTAGAAATCTGCTGGTGTGCAACAACACCATCTAGAGGCCGGCTGCTGCAAGTGAGTCTCAATCACCTCTATTTTTGACTTCAGTTTGATGGAAGAGTAAAAACAGACCCAGTGTTTGATTTGCAGGAGAAATACCTTGACTATTTTGACCGGACTCATGTTCATGGTGAATTTTGTCTGTCCTCTCAGGAACGGTGGTTCCTCCTCGACCAGATCAATATCCATGTCTTCATCTGCAGAGAGTAAATTTAGAGAAAATACACCTGAATAAAACTGAGAAGGACCAGATCAGCATCAGACTTCTATTTTGCAAAAGTGGAAAAAGGACAAAGTTTGTAGCTTTACCGTCATCTTCATCTATTTTGGGAAGGATTCCCGTCACCTCGTCAAAGTCCGGGAACTCTTCTTTAGGAAGTACATTGGCGGCGATCATCTGAAAGACGGAGAAATGTTCTTTACTCTTTAGTACTTGGCTTACAGAGAAGGCAAGGAAGATATCTACATCGATAAAAAATGAGGATTTGGTTTTAAAGGTACAGTCTGTAGAAATGGAAAAAATTTAGCCCCCTTGCTCTCCACTCCTGTCTATGAAGCTCCTGTGATGCACGAGTATGATCACCCATTTGTCAAGTTTTAATTTTAAAAAACGTTAAACAATTCAGATTTTTGTGCACAATAACAACCACTCTCTTTCTCTTTTAGTCTGTGCATTAACCTCTATGTAAAAACACGAGTGTTTCCAGTGTGTCTGTGGAAACATGGTGATGCAGAAAGGAGGGATTCATGGAAGGAGACCTGGTCAAAAACAAAGTGATCTTCATATCCAGGTCAATATACGTAAAACATCATAAATCATTTACTGTGCATCATTTTGGTCAGAGTCTGTTGTTTTTAATGTGCTCTGTAAATATATTTGGTTTATTAGAGTTGATGAATACTACCCTCTGTATGTTCTCTGTCTGTTCTGCTGATTCACACTAAAAACTACCCACTGCACCTTTAAATCTCAGCATGAATTCAGTGGGTGAACCTGTTTGATCTCCCATTTCTCCAGGTCGGTGATCTTGGTGAGCCGTTTGCGCTCGGAGGTGTTTTCCTCTAACTCCAGCATGCTGGTTTCGATGGGTCGGTCAGGGTTCCTCATGGCCTCTTCTCCAGAACCAGGCACAGATCCAGATCCAGCTCCAGAGTCCAGGTTTCTTTTCCTATTTGGGTTCAGGTCCTCCCCTGTCTCCTGGTCCACATCCTGGAGGCAGATTCAGAGAGGAACGATTCATGGTCAACCTACAGAGTCTGCAAAAGCTCACTCTGGTTTTCAGCATGAAAATATTTTGCAGATTGGTTTTAAAGTATCTGTTAGAAAGGATTATACTTTACCATCAAGTTTTAAGTCTGCTGAAAGAAATCTCAACTCTCTCCTAATCTCAGAATCCATCTATTATAGTGTATCTTTGTCGTACAAACAGTTGGATAAATGTCTCTGCGAACAAAAGCCAACTTTTCAGTCAGTTCTCAGGCTGTTACACACCTGTACGCTGTTTATCGGGTTCAGACAGTAAGTTACACAGAGGCTTCCCTCTGACTCACTTCAGCAGATTTTCTTGCAATCAATGTGTCTCATGTGAGACTGAATATCAATGTGATGCAGATTAGTAAATGTCGATAGATTAACCCTCATCAGGTCAGTCCTGAAGAGAAAAAAAGCTGGTTCATGCCTTTATCTCCTCCAGGTTGGACTACTACTTCTCATCGGGATCCCTAGCAAGAGTCTGCAGAGACTCCACTATATTCAAAACTCCGCCGCTAGGATGCTGATGAGAGTGCGCAAACATGATCATATCACCCCGTCCTCCCGTTTCCACCAGGATTGAGTACAAGGTTTCCCTCCTCACACACCAGTGCATCCATGGACATGCCCCCCCACCTTCCTCAAAGAACTTCTACACCCACAAAAGACAACACGGTTTCTCCACTCCACTCACTCACGTCTCCTCTTCACCCCCAAAACCAGATAAAGGATCATGGGAGATAGGGCCTCAGTGCTGCTGCCCCACGCTTTTGGAACCCCGACACCCTGAGGGAACCACAACCCACTAACAGTTTTAAAAAAAGGACTCAAAACTTTTGGTCCCTCCTCATAGATTCTTAAAAAAAAACTGCTTATCCTGCTTTTCCTCTTTCAATGAAATGTTTCTCTTGTTTTTAAACCAATAACCTGTTTTTATCTTCCTTTACTGTGAAATTTCTCTGCTTTTAAGTTGTAGCCCTTTGAGGTCGTTTGATGTAATGGGAACTACAAATAAAACCTATTATTAATATTATTTTAAAAATCTTTTCATGAGTCTTTTATTTTACTGGCAGTCAATACTGAACACATATCACACGTACCACTGTTAAAACCTGTTAAAATGGATTTCTTTGGATTCCTCACAGTGCAGGATAAAAAAACAGACTCTCGGTCATTTTAAACCTGACTCACCTTCATGCTCAGACTGGCTTTAGTTCCAGTCTGTGAAAGCACTTTGACCTTCACTTTTTGACCTCTGGTGACCACGTCAGCAACGTCAGCTATTCGTCCTTCTTTGCGCAGCTCAGAGATGTGAACCAGACCTTCCCAGCGTTTTCTGCAGACAGACACGGGTAGTTAGCAACACGGTGGACACATGACAAAAAGTAAAGCAATGTAGGGATTTCTTTTGCATTTTTATGACTTCTGTTTCTGGTTTAAGACTTTTGATACCTTAGTGGCACATTACAAAAAAAAAAAAATCAGGAAAAATAAAATAGAAAAAAATGAATCTGTAACAGGAACCAGATGAGTATAAAAATGAGAGGCAGACAAACAAGCAACACATTAAATCCTCAAAAGCAACAAACTGCTTAAGGAAATGTGTCGCTTCATGTGTGGTGTCTCTCTGCATCGGTGTGCACGCCTGATAATATCACTAACCTGAGACCTTCCAGCTGCACAAAACAGCCAAACTGCATAATGCTGCTGATTTTCCCGTCGTAAATGTCGCCTACAACAGGATCCTCCGGCGGCGGCCTGTCTACAAATCTACCACGCCACCGCTCTGCGTCTCTGTCATCTTTGTTGTTGTTGCTGTCTTTGTCTGCGCGAGGACTGGGTGGATGATCGCTCCACCGAGACGGCCGTTTCCTTCTACGCTTTGGGTTTGCTTCTCCATCACGATCTCTGGATTTGGAGCGAGAACGGCTGCGTTTGCGACTGTTATCTCTGTCCACGTCTCGACCTCGGTCTCCTTGCAGAGGCTTAGCTGACCTACGGGGTAAAAGGCAGACAGAGAAGTCAATTTTTTCAGTTTGTTAGGGGACAAAAAGCTTCTCCTAAAAGAGAGAATCTGAGACCAAACAGGGTCACAGCTTAAGGGCAACTATAAGGAGTGCTGTCATCTTTCCATCATTTTTAATCACCTGTCATCAGAGCTGGTTCCACCAAAGTTTGGCATCAGCATCTCCAGCTCCTTCATGGCGGCTGCAGCGACCTGCTGATCATCTTTATCCATGTGGCGTGGAGGAATCTGATGGAGAGGGTATCATCAGTGACAAAGCTCCATAATCTCATTTTAATACAATGCTGAAAAGAAGCCATGTTTAACTTTATAGCAAAAACAGTTGTTCTAAAGCATCTCATTTAATCTTCCTCCTGTGTTCGCTTTTACTACACATCCACTATGTTAACGTGTCTTAAATCAGCTGTAAATTACACTAAAAACAATTCTCTATCATCCAATTTAGTTCTCATCTCTAGGTTACCTTCTTCGGCCTCATTATCCATGAAAATATTGCGTATAATATTTTTGTTGTGGTCCTCTGGGCCTTTCTTGTCAGTAAACCCCTCACACAGACATCTATACTGAAATGATCTCACATGTCTGGACATGCCTGACGTTGTTTTTTGTGCAGGGAGACACAAAATAAGAATTTCCTAAATCGACCATGACTGGAAGATGATCTGACTGTCAGTGTGGTGCCTGACAGTGCACTTATGATTTTAGTTTTTGCTCTTATCATTAGATATTGATCTAATGATGTTTTATGGTCCCCGGTTGTGGAACAGCCTGCTGGAGAGCCTCAGGGCCGCAGAGAGTGTTGATGTTTTTAAGAAGAGGCTCAAGACTCACTTTTTAACCAGGCTTTTCGCGAATTGGCATTTTATATTTCTCTAATTGCAAATGTTCATTTTAATCAAAGTTCTTATTGTTTATTTGATGTCATTCTATTAATCATCTATAATTATCAATTAATTATATTATATTAATTATTTATGGCATTTTTTTGTATGAAAAATGCCATACAAATAAAGTTGAATTTGAATTTTGAGATTTGGATCTAACCGGGTCAACAGCGACCCTAATACGACAAGTGCCATAATTTTAATAAGAACATTTTTTTATTTAGTCAATTTAATTTTTATTTTGTTGAAATAGAGGTTCTTGACAAAGTCTTAATGAAAAAAAGCTAATTTAAGTAGTTCTTTTAAGCTTTTAAAATCAAAAACAGGCTGGTGCAGACCCTAACACAGGAGGAGGGTTAACAGTGAATAAGTCTCACCTTCCACACAGGATCATCTGGTTTACATAAAGCTGGATATTTCTCCTTCAGTTTGTCTTTCTCAGTCTGTGGTTTGAGCTCAGACTCATGTGCTGTGGACAAAAATGGATGGTTAAGGGAAGAAAATCAGCAATTAAACAGCAAATACTTTTACATAACAGCCTGTTGTTGCGTATGTTTAGTACCTTTACTCGTGGATGGTGTTGGCCGCATGGTCTGAATGAGTCTGAGTAAGTTTCCAGTGAGTGTATCCTGAAAAAAGAGAGATACTATTTATCAGAAAAATACACTAAAACATCAACAAACACGGAGATTAATGTGTGTAACTACAAACTTACAGTAAATTCTGCTCCATTTTCGCACAGGACAGCTTTAAACTCCTCAAATGTTGGATGTTTTTCCGCAAGACTGATGACAAACTCAGCTACAAACAGACAAGATTATTTAATATTTACTTTAACAAACATTCAGAGTTAGTTTCCTTCAAAGTAACGGCGGGTTAGCTTCACAACATTAGCGCGTACATGACAAACATCGCTAACCTCACCTAAATCTTTCTCGCTGATCCCCAAATGATTCTCCAGCTCCGTACAAACTTTAGACACCAGAGACAAATATTCAAGACGCTCAATTTCGTTCAGAGCCGCCATGTTTGTTGTTTACTCGTGAAACCGGAAACAGTACTCCTTCTGAGGTTTTGAGCAGCGCCATGTTCAGCGCTGCTGCCACCTAGTGGTCACATGGAGGATAAAGCCTCACAGGGCTGCGGTGCAGTTAAATGTCAGTTCAGTGAGGAACCGATTTGAGGACGTCATCCGGGTACTTTTGCATACTCAATTTTCGCAAACTATCCATACTTTTTTCCAAGTGTGCGATTTGGGAGACACATAGTTTGGACTCCAAACTACCGTTAGCTGTACCAAAATTGAGACATGCATGAACATTTCAATGACCACTTAAAACAAAGATGCAAAAAATGAAACAGAAACAGTTCAAAAAGTAGAAGTACTTCGCAAAATGTTGTTTCTTCTTATTTAATAAATTTAGTAAAATGTCCGATCAGCTGACGTTTAGGGCCACTGTACAAGTTCTTTATAAACTATGAAGATGACTGAAAAAAACAGTTATAATTCAACTAAATGATGAACTTTAATACAAACTTCTTTCTTTCTACCAACTGCAAAATTACAGCTCTGATAATGTTGCTTTTAATTTGAATCCAGTGGCATTGACTCCAAATTTGTACCAATTTTCAGTATTATAATCAACATTCATGTCACTGTTGGCCTTTACCGTGGCACATGTAAGGCACAGCTACAACAAAAATATATCTCTCATGTAAATCTGAACCTTAAAATTCACTAAAAACACGACAGGATTAAGAAAACGGAGTTTAATGAGGACACATTTGCATCATTTCATTGTCATGTACGGCTAAACAAGTCTTTGATACAGACAAGTGATCTCAAACTGTCCAATAGTACAAAATCTACCAAACATGAACATGTTGTTTCGTTTTTACAGTCTTACAGCCAAAAGGTCCAAATACAATCCTATCCAGTCTGACTTAAAACATCACGGTCATACAATTTATAGAGTATCAAAATAAATAGTCGACTGTGTTAGAGGATCTTCTCACAGATGAGGGGCTGTTTTCTTCTTTCTGTTTTAGTGCGATGAAAAGGAAATGATCCAAATTTTCTAAAATATGACACTAAAATTTGAAAACAGGAACTTTTAGGACCTGCTGAAGGGAAAAATCTACATTGTTTACAGTTTAAAAAAAAAAAAAAAGCCGGTGACAAACAAACCAGAGGATTGATCGTATTTTCTCTGCTGCACCTGACTTTTCTATCTCTGCCGAAACCTTCAAAGTTTGTTTTAACGACTTCCGACTTAACGGCGTCTGAAGGCGCGAGAGATTCTCCAGGCGTTGGGTTCCTCGTAGCGGTTGTAAAGAGGCTCCAGGCGTTGTTGTTTCTTCTGTTTGCTGAGGCGGGTTGGGTCGGACACTTTGAAGAAGGCTGGAGAGAACTCCACCAGCCAGCGCGGGTCGATGGTGGTCACCTCTCGCATGTACTCCTTTGTGGTCAGGACCAACTCGTGATACACAACCCTGGAGATAAGAAGCGGGACGTCACTTTCTCGGATTTGTTTCTGGACTTAGTGTGAGAAAAGTGGGGCACAGTTTTCGTCTTACCACTCAGGTTGCCGGTTGAACAGAGCACTGGAGGGGTGGATGTAGACGACTTGTTGGTCTATAAGTGTCCTGTAGCCCTCCTGAGGATCCTTCTTGGCTGCGTTCCTGAAGAAACCACTGCAGATAGCTTTCTGGACCCGCACTGTGGCCTTCCCACAAGAAACCACATCCAGTTTGTGTCTGAACAGAGAGGAGTTTGTTAAAAAGTTGATGAGGAAACAGAGAGAGGAAGAATAAGATGTGAGAGAGAGTCGGAGTTACTCCTCCGTACCTGTCCATGATGCCCAGCATCTGTTTGCGGATGTCCTGAGCTCTGCGTAAGGAGCGAGCCTGGATGAAGTTCTCGTAACACCAGGGGTTTGAAAACTTATTGTTCTTCCAGGAGTTGTAGACAGCCAGCAGGGTCAGGTGATCTCCTTCAGGCTGGTGAAACTTTGCTTTCTTCTGATCGGCCAAGGCCTGCTTGTCCTGAAACACACAGAGAAAAAGATGTTATCTTCATACACAGAAACTTGAGATTAAACGTCCACCAAATCCCCTCATGGTCTTCCTCTTGGACACAGATGTCATTAACTGTTGGCTCAAGGATGCCTTACGATACTTTGGAGTCCATTCACATCCTAAAGCCTCATGAGTCAACTTGTCAGGTTGGAAAACACGCCCTGCAGATGTAGATGAGGTTTAGTGGTGTGCTCACCTTTGGTCTGTAGAAGACGTTCTGCACAGACAGCATGGACACGATGGTGAGCATCTCCTCGCTGCAGCCCAGATGGACGGACATGATCAACATCTTACACAGCATGGGCTCCAGAGGAAACTCGGCCATCTAGGAGAGCGAGTCAGAGCGTCAGAATGTTACCTGATGTTTATTTATTCTGATCTTCTCCTGGAAAATAACTCAGTAGAAGAATTCCTCACCCGTCTCCCCAGCCGTGTGAGTAAACCTTCATCATCCAGAGCTCCCAAAGTGTAGAGCTGCTCCATGGCCGTGATCAGAGTCTCCATGGGAGGAGCGTCCATGAAGTCAAAAGACAGGAGGTCATTGATGCCCATGGCCTGGAGGAGGGAGTTAAAGGAAGACAGAGCAAATGTGAGAAAAGGTTCACTTGTAGGACGTATCAGAGCATGTTCGTTTCAGTGCGTTCACCTTCAGAGACAGCACAGTACTGGCCAAGTTGGTCCTCTGGATCTCAGGCACGTTGGTGGTCAGCATCTCGTCTCTGTAGGCTCTCTCTGTGTAGAGTCTGTAACACTTTCCTGGACCGGTTCTCCCGGCTCGGCCTGCTCTCTGCTTAGCCTGGGCCTGAAGTCAAAAACGGTCGTGAGAAATCTCACCGACTACAAACTCAGACTCTTTAGAAAATCGAGTCTAACTTTGTTGATGTTGTGCTGCACCTGTGAGATGGGAGTCACCACCAGCTGGTCGATTCCTGTCTTGGAGTTGTAGACTTTTTGTTTGACAAAACCAGGATCCACCACGTAGTAGATTCCATCAATGGTCAGAGACGTCTCAGCAATGTTTGTGGCAATAACCACCTAAGAGAAAAATAAGATATGAAGGTCGTTTACGGGACTCAGAAAACACTCCAAAGTCTAATTTAGAGGTCAGACAAGACCATCGATGTTCACTGATACTGTGCAACTTTGCAATAATTGGATGCCGGCACCTTTCTGCTGCCTGGAGGTGCAGGGTCAAAGATCCTGGTCTGCATCTCACTGGGCAGAGCAGAATAAACAGGCAGAATAATCAGCTCAGGAACATCGGGCCCCAGAGACTTCATCCTCTCATACAGGATCTCACACGCCGTATCGATCTCCTCCTGACCCGTCAGAAACACCAGGATGTCGCCTGGACAGAGAAGAGGAAGAAGGATGACTTAGATGTGACCCGCTGTGAGGGAGAAACGACGGGAAAACTAGACGGGTTTAAACTCGTACCTGGAGGCTCGGTCAAATGAATCTGCATGACCGTGATGAGGCTGGCATCCAGGTAGTCTGTTTCAGGTTCTTTGGTGTAGAGCACCTCCACTGGGTACGTTCTTCCCGGGATGGTGAAGATGGGTGCCTCGTAGAAGTACTGTGAGAACTTCACAGCGTCCAGAGTGGCTGATGTGACGATCAACTTCATGTCTGTGCGTTTCTGTACCGTCTGAGATGAATAAAAACAGCAGCGCTCAGTTCGCTCTGATTTAACCCACGATGAGAAACAGATCTCCCTGAACACACAAGTCTCTGCTGATGTTTCTTACCTTCTTGAGCAAACCGAAGAGAACGTCAGTGTGGATTGTCCTCTCGTGAGCTTCATCCAACATGATGATGGCGTACTGGCCCAGCTCAGAGTCGATCAGACACTCTCTCAGCAGCATACCGTCTGTCATGTATTTGATCACCGTCTCAGGGCTGGTGCAGTCCTCAAAACGGATGGTGTAGCCCACCTAGACAAAAGGTATTTGTAAAAAAGAACATATTTCAGATTAGGAAACAAACACAAACAGTCAGTGTGTCTCCTAAAATCAGCTGATCATGATGGCTCGCTGTGCCAACAAGAACCCTGCCGTGCCGACACAACAGACGGCAGTACAAAAAAATCTGCATTTATCAAACATGTGGATACGGTCGTACGAACACATGTAAGTAATCGGTGGAGATAAATCCCACCTGTTCTTTCCTAGCGTGCTCGTGCATGGTTTGAGTCATTTGTATTCAGAAACACCTCCAATTGACCATATATGGTATCAAAAATTGCTTTAAAAATGCGTGGATGAATTTTTTTCCCCCTTGCCGAAATCATAGAGGTAGACATTCACAGAGAGTCGTGCGTTCCTCCAGACAATGTTTAACAGATACATATGTGCATCGCAGATTATTTGTGCATTGATTGAATGAAATCTTTTCCTGTTGACAAAACTGAATTTATTGTGTGAAGGTGCTTTTATCATGATGTGGCTGCAATCTATGGCTCCAATTATGTTTGGGTATCCGGCGATGGCGTGAAATCCTCATTTTATTTCAGGAATTTATTACGGGAACTGGATGTAAATTGAGGCCAGAGAAATTACTCTGTCGGCATGATTCTGCTTAGCATTGGCTGCGAAATGCTGCATACGCTGAAATGTTCGGATTAAGGTGGACAGGAGCTGGATGTGCACTGGGATGGCTTTGGTGCGTTTTGCCTCTTGCTCCAACACGGGTTGTAAATCACGGCATAAATCCATTCTCCAAGTCCTCCAATAGCACAAAATAAACTGTGATACTTGTATTTGTACTTCTTTTGAGGTTGTCCTGTTATAGCTGATTTGTATAGCTTGTCACACCAATCATTCAAAATGTCTGATAAATAACTAATTAATCAATTTTATTAATTAGAGGCAACGGGGAACATGTGTGAAGTTTGAGATGACTTGAGTGACTCCTTTAATGGGTTCTATTTGTCGTTTCACTATTCTACCACTAGATTCTGTGTGTAAGCATGGTCATCGTGCTTAAATTTACGCACATTCCTAAGAACAAGTACAAGTTGATAAATTCCATACACACTCATTACGCACACATCTGTGCGTGCGCACGGTTGATAAATAAGGCCCCTGAAGTGTTCTGCAAGTGTAGCCAGGAAGTTGATCAACGAGTTGAAGGAAAACTTGGTCACAAACGAAACCTCAGCAGAAAGAACAGTTTGTATTTTTTCTTGGTACTGCAGTGTCCCTGTACTCGTCTCAAATGTTTACACCATATTACAAATCAATAATGGTTTACAATAACATGAGTAATCATCCGAGAGTGAATCTGTAATGAAGTAGAAGTTTACAGAAGCAGATTTCTCATCCTGTTATGTTCATAAAACTTGAGTTATGTTTTGTTTTTGTCCCAAACTGAAGTTATTTGGCTGTTTTTAACTTTAGGGTAAGAATAACACCATCTACAAAGAGGAAACTAGAGGATGTAAAGACAAAAATATAAACGTTCTTCTCCAGATTTCAGGAGTGAAAAAAAGATGAAGAAGAGAGGAGCTGGGAGCTGTGTGAGGATTTAGATAAATGGGTTTCCACAGGATGAATCCCTCTCAAAGTTTTCCTCAAAGCCAAGAAAACAACACACACACACCAAATAAAAATCTCATTATATTAACATGTTCGATTCACTCACCTCTTGTCCTAAACAGCAACCATACTCCTCTGAGACTCTCTTTGCCACGGACATGGCGGCCACACGACGAGGCTGCGTGCAGCCGATCTTCCCCCGGGTGGTGTAACCGGCCTCTGCCAGGTACTGAGTGATCTGGGTGGTCTTACCGGAACCCGTCTCTCCAATAACAATCAGGATCTGATTGTCATGAACGGCCTGTGACGGATGACCAAAAGAGGGGAGAAAATGAAAGAGCACTTTTCCTGCTTTTTGTTTTTTCAGATATAAGTAAAAGACGTTAAATTTGATGCTGATCTTCGACCATATTCCTGCTTTAATTACTCGATAATCACATTTTGTCAGCAGAAGAGAAAATCTAATCACCAAAAGTGGGAAAATCTGGTCATTTACATTTGGCAGATGTTCCATTCAGCACATCTCAAAGCTGGCACATCTGCTTGTTAAAGGGTAATCACATTTTCAGTCGACCCTAATCAGATTCAATTATACTCTCTAATGTGCCGCATTAAACTGACTCTGTGTGAAGGAGACCCCCTTTGGGTTTTGTTTTGGAAGCGGCTCAAACCTGAATGAGCTGCTCCTTCAGCTTGTAGATGGGCAGACTCTCTCTCTGCTCCAGGATGGAGAGCTGGGTCTTCTTTCCATAGGAGGCCTTGTTGCCTCCGAAAGCGTGCTTCTTCCACTCCGGGATGTCGTTGGGCATCATGCCAATGCCTCTCATGTTGGCTGCAATCTGCCGACCATCAGCTGTCAGACACAGAAGAAGAGTGCTTAGATAAATGACTCGGCCAGTAAAAGCCAGATTATCATTTCCACTTCTGGGAAAATTGTCGATGACCTGAAACAAACACGGTGAACCAGATCAGGACTTTTCTATCCAATCAGAAACAAACTCCAGAAGGTCAGAAACATATATGGAAGAGCAAACCTCATCTCAGCGTACAGCTTAAATCCAGCACCCCTGATGGTTTGGGGATCATCAGAGTTCACGTCGTGGGTATCTCCCACATCTGTGAGGGCTCCATTAATGCTGAACTATATCTACAGGTTTAGGAGCATCAGAACTCTGTAGTTGGAGTCACCGCATGGGCTTAATATCACTTGTCCATGAACTGTCCTGAGGTCTGATGAATCAAAATCTAACACTCTTTTGGAAAGGACAACTGGACTTACTTGGGACGTTTCGCCTTAGACCTTCATATGATCAAAAACCACATTCTGACAACAGGGATTACAACAGCATGGCTCTGTAGGAGAAGAGTCCTGCTGAGAAACTGGACTGATGAGGTCCTGACTTGTTGAAAAACATTTGGAGCATCATGACACCAAACATAAGATACTAAAACCCGGAGCTGAATGAACCTGTTCCTGTCCCAGACTTTTTTTAACGTGCTGGTGGTGTCGGATTTAAAATGAGTTTATATCTTTCATAAAGAGATAATGTTTTTGTACTATTCTACGACGGATTATTAGGGCCACATTGAGAAAAAAAAAAGTAAGACATAATTACTTACAAACTTAATAAAATCATTTCTTACGAGAATAAAGTCTAATATTCGAACCTGTTGTTTGAATGAGCGCTGTGGAGCATTTAGATGAGTTGAACTTCAGTGGCTAAGTTTCACAAACAAGGAGATACTTAATCCTTTGGTGTTTCAGCATCACGTTGTCAGAAGTATCAGGATACATATGCAAGAAATGCATCTTTACTGCAGAAAGAACCAGAAGGACTTGTAGGGAATCGCTGTTTTTAAGGAGGGGGAAATGTCTGTGCAGAGGTTAAATCCCTCAATGCAGCCGTTTATAGCAATAGTTTCATATGACTTTAGTTTAATGTATGAATCTATATGCCATCAGGTGTTGGTGCCTCTGCGGGTGAAGGTTGCTGCCGGTGTTGTGCCGACATCAGAGACAGACACGGTGCTCGTCAGAGTTCGACCCCCTCTGAATCGTAAATGTTGATCATCATCAGTTGGATTGTTTCTTAAGAAACCACAAAAACTCTCTGAATGGCCCACTGATAACTCTGCAGTTGACCAGTTCAGACATTTCCTCCTCCACAAAAGCAGCTTGAAGACTTCATTTACTTTACGACTTTATTCTTGTAAATAATGATTTTATTACGACTTTTTTCTCTTAAATAATGATTTTACTACGACTTTCCCTTTAAATATGGGGTTAAAATAATAAACAAACCATCAAATTCTGTTTATCCATGTTTAGTGACTTGACTCTTTAAGATCTGGGTTTTATTAAAAAGGCAGGAATTGTCTGATTTATTAAATTCACGCTCACATATGTCGAATGGCTTCAAATTGATTGTAAGAGTCAAACAACAGCATCAACATCTGCGACCAAGAATCAAATTAACATGCACATGCACGGATTCCTCACCGTCTGGCAGCGGGTCGACCCAGTGTTTATTAAGCCCCATGGGGATGGAGTCCATCTCTGCCTCTCGAGCAGCCTGCTTCAGCTCTCGTCTCTCCTTCGCCAGAGCGCTCTGCATCATGGCCGCCTGAGACAGGGAGCCATCTGGATTCTGGGGGCAGAGGGAAATAAAGGACATGTGGTGGGTTTGTTCCTTTTTTTTTTTGAAGGGTCAAATGTAATTTTAAACTGAAGCGGTCTCATGTGGTCATGTGCACATGTGTTCACATGTGCCATACCTTCACGATCTTGACAGGGCTCATGTCCATGCTCTGTTTGGTGTGTCCTCTCAGGAATGGAGGTTCTTCTTCAACCAGCTCGATTTCCAAATCCTCATCTGGACAAAAGAGAATTAGATTAATTAAAACACCGATCACTCTTAATCATATTTACTGTTACACAACACACACGACCATCTGATCTCAGTCATTTTCTGTGAATAAGACAAGGCTGTTCAGGAGAATCACATGACCCTGTTTCTGCTTGACAAGCTTCTCATACCATCTTCAATTTCAAACCTCCGAAACATTAATTTGTGGAGAAAAAAGAAAAGATATTTGTCTGATATTCAAACATTTTTTTACCTTCTTCATCATCAACTTTTGGAAGGATTCCCGTCTCATCGTCAAAATCAGGAAACTCTTCTTTGGACAGGACGTTGGCAGCGATCATCTAAAGACAAATGAAGAGTGTTCTTGTGTTATTCTGGTTCACTGTGGAGCACTTTGAGAAACTTTGATCTGTAAAGATGTCCCGCATGAATAAACTCCAAATCACCTGTTTGATCTCCCACTTCTCTGGGTCGGATATTTTGGTGAGCCTCTTGCGCTCCAGCGTGTCATCCTGCTCCAGCTCGGGTGCGTGGCCCAGGTTCAGGTTACTCGGCCGGTCAGGGTTCCTCATGGATATCTCCTCCCCTCCGTCCGGACCGATGTTCCTTCTCCTGTTGGGGTTCAGGTCTTCTCCGGTCTCTTGGTCCACGTCCTGAACAAAGATGATGTTTATTAACAGTAATGATCCTTGAACGGTTAAAAGGGGTGTTTGGTTATAGACCCTAAAACGTTCTTTCACCAAACTTTTGACATCGTCTTACACAAAGAGAAAAAGTTTCAATCATTTTCAAACATGAATCCCGAAAAAGAACCTTCAGACTCGGTTTTAAAAGCTGAGTAAGTCTGTACTTCTTACCTTCATACTGAGGCTGGTCTTGGAGCCTGTGAACGACAGCACCTTGATTTTCACTCTCTGGCCTTTGCTGACCACATCAGCCACGTTGGCTACACGGCCCTCTCTACGCAGCTCGGATATGTGGACCAAACCCTCCCATCGCTTCCTACAATTGAAGGGACGGAGACAGACGGAGATGGTGTGTCATTAGTGAGCTGAGATGTCTCCTCTGAGTCATGTAAATCTGCGGTTATTGGTTTTTATACTGACCTTAACCCCTCCAGCTGAACAAAGCATCCAAACTGCATGATACTCGTGACCTTCCCGTTGTAGATGTCACCTACAGACGGTTCCTCTGGTGGAGGGCGGTCCACGTGTTTGTCTTTCCAACGATCAGAGTCTCTGTCTTGATCTTTTTTGGGACTGGGTGAGCGTTCTGACCATCGAGAAGATTTGTCTTTCCTTTTGCCGCGATCCCTGTCTCTGTCTCTGTCCCTCTCTCTGTCTCTGTGCCGATCACGGTCCCTGGAGCGAGATCTGGACCTGGATCTGGATCGGGAGCGATGCCGCCTCTTTCTGTCCCTGTCCCGATCTCTATCACGGTCTCTGTGTCTATCTCTGTCTCTTTCTCTGCTTCTGCTGCGACTTCGACTGTGCCGCCTGCTCTTCTCTGACCTGTGAGAGCGGTAAAATAAGAGGACATTAAACACTGCAGCTTGTACTCGAATTGAAATAAAACCAGTCGCGTTCAAGCTTAACTTTCCACCCAAAAAACATACTGCATCAAAATGAGAGTCTGAGGCAGACTAACCTGCTCTTGCTGCTTTTGGAGTCCGTCCCGCTGACACTCGGCATGAACATCTCCAGCTCTTTCATGGCATCAGCTGCTACTTTCACATCATCTTCATCCAACAGCCTCTGAGAAGATCAACCAAACAAAGAAAGTAGGTTTACAGTCCATTCAACTTTTATTCAGTGTTGTTTTTGTTCAGTCAGCTGTGTTTTATTAAATTCTGGGGTAATTCGTTGTGAGTTAAAGACACACAAAAAGGTAAATAATGAATGTAGGTCTCGTACTTTTGGTGCAGGATCATTTGCTCTGCAGAGAGCTGGAAACATCTCCTTCAACTTGTCTTTTTCTGACTTGGGCTTGATCGACGTTTCGGAGTCTGAAATGAAGGAGTTATTTATCACTTCTGAGATCAATCACAGGATTGACACATGACGTTCAACGTACAGATAAGAGGCAGTCAAACGATCTGTCAAACTATCCTGAAGACCAGAAAACACTCTGAATGAACAGGATGAAAATATTTGCTGTAGAAGACAAAAGAGAATCAACGTTTTTCAGTAAATTCTCTCCTGATATTCCAATCAAATGTAGATTTACGCTTTAGAAACTCAACATTTAAACCGACTTACTTTTGCTGGTTGATGCCTTGGATGGAGGTCGCATCGTCTGAATGAGTCTGAGCAGATTACTGATGAGGGAGTCCTAGAAGAGAAGAAAGGAGGCTGAAGTGAGACGGAGCAGTGTATGGTTTACTGCTGAGGAACGTACATTAAAAGAGCTTAAAATTTTCATCATGAGATTTTAAAAGGACACTGCGGATACTTGTCACGTGTGGACATACTAAGAACAAATAAAAAAGGTGTATTACTTTCTGAACAAACCACAATGACAGGGGTGAGCAAGGGAGCACTTCATCTAGACTCTGATCTAGATATCACCCTGTCACCTTCGTTATTAACTCTTATTTTTAATTAATGTGATGTAAACTGTCTGTCCTTTTATGTCTCTATTTCTGCCTTGGACCTGGGCCTTTTCCAATAAACTTGAAGCGTCATAGTTTGTTTGTGTTTTTTCATCAACAGAGAAAAACAAAAGCACATTACTTTTCGACTGTTAAACCAAAATGAGTTAAACTCACAGTAAATTCTGCTCCATTTTGTAGCAGCAGGGCCTTGAATCCATCAAAAGCCGGTTGTTTTTCGGCGAGGCTGATTACAAATTCAGCTGAAAGGAATTAAAACACAATAAAAAAAAGACACATTTCGTTCAGTAAACGGACTCTCTAACAGGCAAAATACGACGATATTATTCGGATAACCATGCACAGCTCAGTAATGTCACGATAACATTATTTTCAGACACATTAGAAAAGTGAACATGTATAGTTTTATGTCTAAGAGTGAAGTTTTCTTTGGTAAAACTTGTAAAACTTTCGTGTTTCTACACCGCAACAGAAAGTTAGCATATGCTAGCTACCGTTAGCTTTGGTTTAGCCGGTAAAATATGACAAACCTAAATCTTTGTCACTGATCCCCAGATGGTTGTCAAGCTCCGTGCAGACTTTCGACACCAAAGACAAATATTCAAGCTGTGAAAGCTCGTCTACTCCGATCTCTGCCATCTCCACGACTCTTGTTTTGTTCACACAGCGTTGGAAACGGCAGACATATTGGATTTGAGCAACTTCCGGCTTCTTTCTTGTACGTGTACGTCTTACGTCACCGCCTTCAACGGCACAGACATATACAAGTAAGGCTAGATGAATCGAGGCGGAGTTACTGGCGGTCATCTTACTTCAGTATATCATTGTGGTTCATTGTACGGTAGCTGATAGCGGGTGAGTAATCTGCATGATCAAAAATACTCTTAACTCGCTGAAATCCTGACAGATTTACAAATGGTTTAGTTTATTACAGACCTTATTAACACGGCTATGGGTCGAGATGCTTGGACATATTGAAATCGCAGATTTTCTTTGAGAAAAAAAAAAGACAATCGTTTTTTCAGGTAAATGTGGTGTTGTTTTCTCACACTGCCAAATGTCGTTACAGGGCCTCAGACCAGTAGTATTTATCCACACTTTATGGTATTATCTGGTATCGTATTATAGTTATCCTTATAATAGAATTATTACTAATATGACATACATGGAATTCTTAAATGTTTTATATATAAATGATTTAATATAACTGCCTTGTATGTGTAGGCCTATAGCTATTGCTCTACCTATCTGCTTAATGTTTATGTATGAAGATCCATGGTTAAAATTATCATTGAGTATGCAGGAACATAATTAAAATTCTGAGGTTTGTTACAAACCAAACAAATTTAAAAAAAAAAAACAAATTAATCAATCTACAGTTATTTTAATTCTACATGCACCATAGACTGTAATGTTATGGTTGGGCGAGCTGCCTGAAGCAAGATGGCCGCCATGCGCGGACGCCGGTCTGTATTGGCTAACAGCGTAAACCATCTAGCGTTTATATATGTATATCTATGCGTGTACGTCTTACGTCACCGCCTTCAACGGCAACCAACGGTTTTGTTTTTCGTGCCGCACGATGGCGCTGATAGTCCTCGCGGTGTGTTAATAAACTGTAACCCCCAGCAATGGGCACATGTTCCGTTTTAACTGTGAAATATCAGCTTATTTTTGGGGTTTGGCAGCAGAAAGCAAAAATGTGTTTCTTATTAAGCTGTACATAAAAACCGAGCATGTCTGTGGTCTATCAGTCAGCAATGTAAAATAAAGCTACAGAATATAAATGTACTCTACCACTTCTCAGGCCCCAAGCCTGTGTTTCATGAATTGCGTATGTCACATGTGAATATTTAATACAGATTCTTGCTGAATTTTGACATGATTTTGTTTGACGTTTTCTATTATTTCGTTCCAAAACATTATTTCCCAAACCGTGCATAATGCTGAGTGTTGTATGTTCTCTGTGCCTACAGATCCAGCTGTGCCCCCTGGGATGCATAGGAGAGGTACATTAAGTCTAGCTCAGCCTTGTTGCCTAAATAATTTGTAACAGCGCAATAAAGAATTTATTAACTCATATGTGGCTGAGTTATTTCAGATGTCGAAACATGTTTGTACTTTTTCTGCTCGGATGTGACCGCGATGAACTCAAGTTTTGTGAGGATATTTGTGTTTGTTAAAGAAATTTAAATCCAGAATGCTTCGGTTTATACTGATCTTTTCCACAGTACTGCTGGTATCCTCACAGCTAGCCCCAAAAAAGAAAAAAAATGCAGAAGTGCCCTCTTGAAAGCCTGCACCGATAAAACATGCCCTTCCTGTAAGTAAAAGGTAAACAAAGTGCCCTCTCGATGCTTCTCCAGAGGATAAAATATAATAATGTGCCCACTCAGTTGCCCTTTCAATGAATAAAACATGATGAAGCACCGTGGTGGTAATGTGACCTGATACACAGAGTATGTTCGGTTGTATTGTAAGGTTTGAGATTTAAAGCTCCTGTGGGGAATTTAAAACTAGTGATGAAACAGGCAGGAATGAATGTTGGTGTTTTTTAATGAGTTAATTAGGCAAACAAGACCGTAAAGAAGAGCAGAGTGAGTTTTTCTTTGGAGTCATTTTTATTGTCTGAAACCCCAGAAGAAGTGTTTGACTGTGTGCCAATAGAGCAGCCTTTCTGTGCATTTTCCACAACAAAAATCTTCACTAAGAGACATTTTTGATGGTTGAAAAGATTAGTTTTTTTCTTTTTTGTCAGGAAACGCTAATATGCACATGCACAGTACAAAATATGCTAACACTGCTTAGTCCACCGGGGGCACTAGAACAGTCAAGATCTAACGTTCCTTACAGGAGCTTAAAGTTTAATTCAGCTCTTTGCCTTTTTCTCGTATTTGAAAGTTGAATTCATTAGCACAATTATATGAATTATGTGCGCATGTTACAGTTTTAAAAATGACATTTTAATTTGAAATTACTGCATATAATGTGAATTAAAAAGCAACGATAGAGCTTGTGTCTCGTCAAGTTACTAATCATTTCTGACCTTCTGACCTTTCTTTTAACTGCTCTGAAACTTTCAGTCGATGTACCAGGGGCGATATATACATATTTTCTTTGTAAGATGGTAGGGGAAAGTCCTGCCTCCTTCGCCTCTGATTGGCTAGAAAAGCTGGAAACGTCATCACACGCTCAAGCCGAATGCTGGCTGTTGGCTCTGTACATCGAACAGAACATTATCGCACTTCTGAATCGCCTAACCCTAACCCTAACCCTCATCCTAATCCTAACCCTAACCCTAATCCTAACCCTAACCTGACAGACGATGATGTTTCACAGCCATTAGGAATAACCAATCGGAGCCCAGCACTTCTTGCCAATCAGAGGCGAAGGAGGCGGGACTTTCCCCTTCCGTCCTAAAAATTTTTTTTTCGCGTACCGGGAGTAGCTTACACTTCAAAATAAAAGCATATTTTTTCAAAGCAACCTCAATATAAGGCAGAAGAAATTTCAAAATAAAAGCACGTGCAAAAATAGTTAATGAGGCAATGTCTACACAGCGAGTGATTTCATATTTATGAATACACATGAATTTTAATTATTATCAGTAGTAGTAGTAGTATGCTGCTAAATCCTTGGCATGCCTCTCTACAATTTGACTTTATTGGTTTATTTTATTGATTGTTTTATCTTAAAAATTTCTATAAATATGTCAATAATATTGTTATTGTGATATTTTACAGCCAGAATAATGATGCAGTAAAAACCCTGTGACTTGCTGTGAGTATCGAGGGTTTCAAAAACTACTCCTCAGGCCTCCCTTCTGTCCATGTTGCCCACCCTTGATAGTCTAGAGCCGGACCTGTGCAGCTACTTCATGATACCAGAATACTGAAGAGGAACAGGGAGCTGAATGCTCTTTAAAATGCTGTTGGATGCAGATTTTTGTGGACCACAACAATGCCCCGTGAGGTACAGGAGGTGCCCTTTTCACTTTTTGCAAACAGCTTCGTTGCGCCTCTTTGACTCTGTGTTTTCCCAGTATGAGGCGTCTTTTTTCAGGAGAAACTCTCCTGATTTATGTTGAAAATGACCTCAATGTTTGCATGATAGCGCGCACAAAACTCCAACTGTACTCACAGCTTCTGGGATGACTTTTACCCTAGTTTTCCTCAATCTCTCTTGCTTAAATTGGAGCAATCCTCTGCAACCAGACAAGAAAATCTACGATGATTTGCAAGCTTTCTGTGATGAATACAAGCAAGATTCTTACAGGAAACAAAGTGTTGAGTAAAAACAGGAATATTAAACAAGACAGACAAGACACATGAACTCTGGCTTCTTGTGTTCGCAGAACAAAGCTATAAATCACCGGATGCAATCTTAAACACTTAACTCCAGCTCTCAGTACATATTTATCTCTGTTTTTATCTTTGCCTGTCCACGAAATGTCTGTACATACAGTCATGATTCATTGTTTTGCACTCACTAACAAGTTTTTCAGCTATGGGAAGCAGTGCGGACCACTAAATCAGGACTGCATTCTGTATCACTTTCTGTCAGGGTCATCAGGATGCATTATATAAGGTGTAGAGTGTTAATCTGGGAGTACAGGCTGGTATGTAGGACATGGTAGACAGCCTGCCTCCTCTCGCCCTGGGATAACCCTCCCTATACCTTCCAGTACATCTCAACTCAGTGACCCAGCCTATGGACCCTCCCACACACACGCACACTCTGTCCTCTGTCTGTTTACGCTACATATCCCCTCCATCGCTGTCTCGCTCGCTCTTTCCTCTCAGGCCCCCCACCGCTAATCTCCTTATTAAATTTAATCCTCATTACCCGTCTATAAACATACCACTTTCTAAAGGTTTCCTGATCAGGATTTAAGCAGTTTTCTGTCGATAACTTCTCCTCAGATTCTCATAAAGTTTCACCACTTTGAGAAGGAGTTAACCTGCGAGATTATGTCTGCATATGTCTGCATACAGTCTGTTCCACTGGATGAGTCTCTGTAATCTTTGGTGATTATTTTCACTTCACTTCCCCTTTCTCACACTCCATCTCCGGCTTCTTTATAGGCATACATTTTACATTTTTTTTAGGCAGTAATGGATTCTCTCGCAGAGGCTTTAACCCAAAGACGGGCCTCTTTCCTCAGAAGTCCCAAAAGATCTTTTCCGAGTCAGTGCATTTTTTATATTCCAAGTATTTCCCCCATGTATGGTTAAAAATACAGTCTGGAATTTGTGATTTTTTTTTTTGTGTGTAGCTAGTGTGTTAAAGCTCATGGGAGGAGTTTTGTAACATTCATCAGATATACTTTAATATTAAAGCTTTTTAATGATAAACAAAAGCAAACAAGACCATTGGTAACAAGACTGAGGATTTTCATATCGTTATTTTTATTTGTCGATCTTGGTGTGAGAAGGTAGGAGTCAGTTATGCCATTGAGGAAAAACTCATGTGTTTATATCTATACCTTAAATATTCACAAAAAAGACACACCTGACTGTCAACAGTTGTTTTATTTTATTTTCAGGAGGCCAGCGGCTCTCTGATCTTTCCCATCGACACTAACACAGCCTAAAAATGACAACTTTTGTTTACATAAGTTTAAAACTTCAATGTTATAAATTTACAATTTTAATCGTGTATTTTTCCTCGACGAAGTGGCCCCAATAGTTTTAACAGTCTAATATATCACCCTAGTAAAGTGTGTCTGAGTTTTT